AACACATACACAGAGATACACACAAAATCACACACATAAACACAGATATACACAAACACAATCACAGACCCACACACATACAATCACAGACACACAATCACATACACACACAAACATTACATACATACACACATTTAATAAATAAGAGGTCCACCCAGCCTCCCTACCTTGCTCTACCTTGCCCTAGAAGGGCTGGAGTGGAACCTCAGTCCCTGGTGGTCAGTGGTTGCGGCTGGGATCTCTGTGCACACCCTGTAATGACGCAGAGGCCGCGATGACACCATATCCCGGCTGCCGTCTCACTGCAGGGCGAAGACTGTCAGACACAGTCAGATGCACACAGTCCCACACACAGTCACTCACACAGTCACTCACACACAGTTACAGGCTGACAGTCAAACACACAGTCACAGGCAGATAGTCACACATGCACACACACAGTCACAGACAGTCACACACACCCACATACACAGGCAATCACAGGCAGATAGTCACACAGGCAAACAGTCACACATACACACACAATCCCAGGCAGACAGTCACACAAACACACACACACAATACCAGGCAGACAGTCACACACACACACACAGAATGACAGGCAGACAGTCACACATACACACACAGTCACACACCATCACAGGCAGTCGGTCTCACACACACACACACACACACACACACACACACAGACAGACAGTTGCACACACATCACCAAATAAGGGAGCTATCTACTAAACACATACACAGAGATACACACAATCCCTCACATAATCACAGATATGCACAAACACAATCATAGGCAGGCAGTCACACATACACACACACACAATCACAGACAGTCACATACAGACAGTCACACACACACACACACACACACACACAGAGTCACACAGACAATCACAGGAAGACAGTCACTCACTCACACACAGTCAAAGACAGTCACAATCAGTTACACACAGCACATACTCTCTCTCTCTCACTTACAGTAAGCTTGGGCTGGAGGAGGAGTGGATTCAGTCCCTCCTGTGCTGTAGTTGGGGAAGCAGGGACTCCTTCCTGCATCCCCTTTGTGTGATCAAAAAGAGGCTGCATTTAGCTCCGCCCCCGCATCCAGCTTGGCTCCGCCCCCATGGTCATTCTAACTCCGCCCCCAACTCTCAGTGCAGCCAGCTAAGCCAGGTCTCCTGCTCCCAGCCCCTGCGTGTGAGCTGTGTCGGCTGCCCGGTGCCCCTGCTGCTATGGCGCCCGGTGCAGCCACACCCCTGCCTGATGGCAACCGATGCGGACCTCCCCCCCGCCCCCCGTATTCTGCCTCCTTGGCTGAGGTTATTGACAGGCCCGGACTGGCCATCGGGCATACCGGGCAAATGCCCGGTCGGGCGCGATGGCCGTGGGGCCGAGGCCAGCAGGGGAGATCACAGGATCTTCCCTACCAGCCCCTGCAGGGGCGAGCGCCGGCCCCGCTGTGTGTCAAAGATCTCCCTCACCGGCCCAGAGGCACCATTACAGGCGGCCGCATGCTGGGGAGGGAGGGAGGGAGAAGAGGACTGGCGGAGCTCTAACCAGCAGCTCCGCCGGGTCCTCTCGCGGGCTAGAGTTCACTCTCACCACTGGACCACTAGGGAAGGATGGCAGCACGGCACCTCCACATGGCAGAACTGCACCCCCTCATTGCAGAACGGCTCCCCCTCAAGGCAGAACGGCCCCCCCCCCACCCCTGCCAGGCTAAAGGTAAGAAGGGAGGGGGAGCTATAACTTTTTAAAAATTATTAATAAAAAATATATTTAAATAAATACATCACACTCAGACACACACAGCACCCACACACACACAGCACCCTCAGACACACACAGCACCCTCAGACACACACAGCACCCCCCCACACACACAGCACCCTCAGACACACACAGCACCCTCAGACACACAGCAAACAGATAGACACACGCAGCACCCAGATACACCGCAGCAGACACACACAGCACCCCAGATACACACAGCACCACCAGACACACACAGCACCCAGACACACACACAGCACCCCCCACACACACAGCACCCCCCACACACAGCACCCTCAGACACACAGCAGATACACACGCAGCACCCTCAGACACACACAGCACCCCCACACACGCAGCACCCAGATACACACACAGATACAAACGCAGCACCCTCAGACACACACAGCACCCAGACACACACAGCACCCAGACACACACAGCACCCTCAGACACACACACAGCACCCATATACACACACAGCACCCTCAGCACACACACACAGCACCCCTAGACACACAGCACCTACACACAGCACCCAGCATACACACGCAGCACCCAGACACACACAGCACCCCAGACACACACAGCACCCACACACACACACAGCACCCCTAGACACGCAGCACCCAGATACACACGCAGCACCCAGATACACACGCAGCACCCTCAGACACACACAGCACCCTCAGACACACACCCAGTACACACCACCCAGATACACACGCAGCACCCCAGACACACACAGCACCCCTAGACACACACAGCACCCAGACACACACACAGCACCCACACACACCCAGCACCCTGAGAGACACACACACAGCACCCTCAGACACACACTGCTCCCAGACACACACAGCACCCCCACACACAGCACCCTCAGACACACACAGCACCCAGATACACATGCAGCACCCAGACACACACAGCACCCTCAGACACACGCAGCACCCCCAGACACACACAGCACCCTCAGACACACACAGCACCCCCAGACACACACAGAACCCAGACACACAAGCAGCACCAACACACACGCAGCACCCTCAGACACACACACAGCACCCTCAGACACACACACACAGCATCCTCAGACACACACACAGCAACCTCAGACACACACAGCACCCTCACTCACACAGCACCCACACACAGCACACTCCCACACATATACAGCACACACACACATATATATCTATAATAAATAAAATAACCCTCAGTGAGTTAACAGACAAAAAAAAAAATAGAAACCTAGAATGTGACGGCAGATAAAAACACCCTCACACACAGCACCCCTCTTACACACACACACTGCACCCCTCACACACACACACTGCGCCCCTCACACATACAATACGTCCAAATATATATACACACATATGTGCACCCCTTACACAGCACCACTACACACATTACGCTCCAGATACACGCTAGATCCCTTACCCTATATGCACTCTTAATCCTCTACACACACACACACACATACAATCTCCTATACACCCTCTGAGTCCTTTGCACACTAGATCTCCTACACACACACACACTGCCCCTAGCCACACATATTACACCACAAACACAAATGAAATTGACCTATTTACACAATGCCACACCAGACTCTACACACACGCAATCCCACAAGAAGGCTCCAAACACATGCACCATACGCTTCCCTGGCCATTTTTTCCTCTGGTATCCCACTTGTGGAGACACCAGAGACAATTTAAAAGCAAACACAGCACAAGCATGTTATTAAATTTGCTTGCGCTGCGCAGAACAAATACACAGGGCCTTTTTCTAATGCTAGAGCTCTTCAGCAGGGCTCTGCACATTGAACCAAAATGCTCACTTTGAGAGGGAGCGTGCTTGTCTCTAGCCCCGCCCCCTACTTAGGGGGCCGCTCTGACTGAAAAATGCCCAGGGCTAATTTTTTTCCCAGTCCGGCCCTGGTTATCGAGCTTGATTACCATTAAAATCATTCCAATGCATTCTCATAAAAAGGCTTTGGGAAGCTAGTGCACATTCACTGCAAATGGTCTCTGTAAGACCATCTAATGAAAATATAACATTTTTAATTGGCTTTTTCAGAGGAATCTGAAAACATTGTCGTTCTGCAGTTTGACTACTTACTGTGAGAGTGCCAGGCCACTCCTGACACCTGTAGTGGTTATGTTGCTTGAATTACCATACTTAGTAAAAAGGATAATTTTTTTCTATAGCTTTGAATAAAAAAATTATAACACAAATAACTACACTCATAATAGCACATTTCAGAGAATATGACATATTAACAGACATACCAGAAGCAAAAACGGTAAATAATTGTGTCAGGGCTCAAAATTTCCACTAGCCACTAACAATTGGCATTTGAAAATCCAGCACTAATTACTAGAAATTAACCCCAGTAATTGTGCCATAGACACTCCAGACCTATATAGTGGTGAATAAGTTTTAAACCTGCATAGCGTAAGATTGGAAGTTTTGCAACCGCAGTTAAAAAAAAAAGTAATATATGCAAATCACCAATAAAGTAATGAACTTGTTATGAATTATGAGGAATCCGCATTTGTAAAAAAAAAAAAAAAATCTGAGTCAGTGAAGTTTTGGTCTAACATTTTGAATTCACTTTAAATTCCGCACCTTATGAATACCTCCGTAGAGGGCTCTATTCACGAACACCAAGTTTAATAATTAAACTACAAATATTGGCGAACTGAAGTCCAAATGCCAAAATAATGGCTAAAATAGCCAGGCTGTGACTGACCACAGCAGCGAAGATTTAAAAAAAAAAAAAAAAAAAGAACTTAATCATATATTTTAGTCATAATTTTGTTCCATACCAATGTTTTAGAATGCAAAATCCAAGGGCAACCCAATTCATGGCATCTAACAAATATATGCGATTTAGCACAAATGCCTTGTAAGGCCAGTGGCACAGTTGATCTATGTGGTCTAATTTATATCAGCATTCTAGTGGCAATGGGTAACATTCTTTCACTAAAATTATTTAACATAATATAACGTAACGTTTGTAGGGTAATGTAATAATAGACTACGATAATTACGTTAACGGATGAGGACTGGCGCTAGGACCTAGAGCGTTTCAACAGTTTCCGTCGCTTGTGAAAAGCAGGCTACAAACCAGGCGGGCATATTCGGATTCGGATTGGCTGGTTAGATGTGGGTGTGGTTTCCATTTTTGAATAGTAAATAGGCTTTGTCCCAACTCTTGGTTCCAGTCCGAGGGAGGAAAGGGAATAGGAGAGAAAGGTAAATTGTTCGTCTGTACGTGACTGAAGCTCTCCCATTAGTCTCTTCCATGTGAACCTGGATAAGGAAGGGCTACCACTATTTTGATATATTCATAAAAGTGATTTTTTTTTTGTAGTTCTAGCTATATCTGAAAATATAACAATGCTGTCTACTGTCTGTATTTTTTTTTTTTTTTATCACATTCATGCAATCTATTGTAATAGGAAATTGTTGGTTATTAATAAATATGACAATATTGCCCCCATTTGCATTCATTTTGGGGCACTCATATCTTTGCAGATCGTATTTGCTGTGATCTGTAATGCAGTGTATCTTAATCTGACTGGGCTAACAGTAATTTCTCAATGTTATATCAGAACACTGTAATTCTGACACTTAAGTCACATTTCACTGTATTATTTTGCAGTTTATTGTATCTTCTCCTGCCACTGATTCACCTGCGGGGCATGAAGAGCTGACCACTAGAGCATGCCATCAAGCCCTTCTAGGCACAGTAAAAGTGAGTAACTACTGTCTGGGAGCACATTAATTTATTTGGATGCCCACATGCATATGTGTGTGTGCTCTAGTACTGAACAAATTAAATGACAATAGTTGGGTTGGGCCCCCTGTAGTGGTGTTCAATTTCAAGATGCAAGCTATTGAGCCACAATTATTAAGCACCACTGATGTAGATGTGTATGCTTACTCCCTATTCTTTTTATAAGAACTCATGGACGGACTCCATAAAGAAATAAAATAGTGGCACAAACAACAAATACTTTCTTTGGTGCTTAACTTTAATTTCAGAGCTTCCAGTTTAGTCATGGAATCTATCCATATCTGCTTCTTGTAGGTTGTTGAGTAAGGCTTGCATGTATTCTTTGTCTAAACATGTCTAACATCTTTATAAGGAACATAAAACATTTCTATTATCTTTATGTCATCTGGTTTCCCACATGACTTTGCCTGAGGGACCTGCAAAATGTTCCTGTTTTCTGGTGGTGAGAGAGTTAAAGCTTTTTTTTTTTTTTGTCTTGGCTGGTGTTTAATGTGCCTGCGGAAGTGACAAAGAGTGTTATGGTGTGTGTGTTTGGTTACAGAGGAGTTTAGTTTGTATAGCACTATGGCTGGTAACTTTAACATGGCTTAATTATTAATGGGAGAGGAACTATGCCCAGTTTTTAATCTAATCAGCACTTTGAAGGCCTGATGGTTTCAGAAATTTGCAGGTAGGTCAGATGCTTGGTAAAATCTTCCAGTATAACAGTATTTACATATGTAGAACCCAAAATAAGATGTCAATTATCTGTTTTAAAATTTCATGTTTATTTTGCAAAATAAGAATTTCCTGTCGCCACATTTATTAACACTTAGAGGTTCATAATGTGTATTAACGTTGAAGCACAAATTCTGCTAACTGTAATGCCAAGTTTCTTGACTTTGCAAATGTTCTTAATGCTGGTTTACTTTAAATTTTACCCTCTGTCAGTCTTAAGTTCATTTGCCCCTTTATCTTTTTGTTTAAAATGTGAATAATTTTTTTTTGGACGGGGGGGAGGTTATTTTGTAGATTCTGGATTAGCACCCAAATTATATTTTGAGAAAGCAAATAAAAATAATCTGTATTTACAAATATTAATTCAGATGCAGTTTTGGCTGTGATCCCAAAAATTTTTAAATTCATTCAGTACTTTTTTGCTGAAAAATAATCCAGATTGCTGTTAGAGGTGAAGCGTTAAATTTACAGGAATTACTCTTAAAGATATAGCATTAAACATGCTATAGTCCTTAGATCGGAACCAAAATAGACTCTCCTCTTTGCTCAACTCATGTGCTGCATGTTGTGTGCTACAATGCTTTCCTTTCATTTCCCACTCCCCTGTTTGTGTCGTGGTAGAGGCTCAGGCCTTTATACAATAGTGTTGGGATCCCATATTAACTGGAAAGACCCAGAATTCTCTCTTCCTACATACCAACGGTGTGAGAATGAAACAGACAAAGGTGCATGCAGCTCCCTGCTTGCACTCTTTGTTATATACCCTGTGGTTGGCTGTGGAATATATAACGAATTTAGGGTTCCCTTAGATCCCATAATTAACAGAGCAGAGTCACAGCTTTCTACCGATCTCAAACTGCATCCCCAGGACTTCTTGCAGTACTCATACATTGGGTTTGGATCAGTTCAGCAGTTGGACATTAGCAAGTGGTGCCTCACAAACAGAACCCATAATATTCTCCATTTCTAAGATCACAGGGAAAATGTTAATTATATAATAGTACCAGGGAAACGTGGCATTCAATTCCCTTGGTGGGAAGTAGAAGGACACTGTTTGAGCATGAGAACTAGATGTAGGAGTTTGCTTACAAATTCAGTCAGAGTGGGAATATACACGATGCCTGGTGCAATAGGTGAGTAGATTTGGGACAGGAATCTGGAGATTCAGGGCATCAGTTTGCAATCAGAAAACCGAATTGGTGCCCAGAAATTTGCCAGTGAGGAGACATCAAAGAGTTGTAAGAAAATTGGCCATCTTCCATATGTCCTTGCAACTTTTGACCATTTTCGTAACTGACTTTGCAGGAAAGAGAGTACAGGAGGAGTCATGAAATTGTCAATGCCACAGTAGCAATGCTAATAGAATACACAAAGTCCTCTGCTGGGTACTGTTATTGTCAGGCATGGTATTTACCACATAGAATACTGATACATCCTTCTATTTGAGAAGGATTAGGTCAATTAAGACTGCAAGGCTGAGCACCAACTGGAAACTCTATTTGATTGAGGCATACAGAGGTTAGGATTTTGGACTCTATAATAACACTGCTGCCCACTATTTGGAAATAGTGGCCTCCCTAAATCCTGCCAAACTCAGTTCAAATTAATAGACGTTCATGCAGCTAGATGGGTTTTTTTTTAAATATAATAATGACAAAGTATTTAATCAGGAAAGGTACATCCTGGGAATGTTACTTTTGCCCAATATCCTGGTGATGTTACTATTACACAAATTAATGGTACTTCCACTTGCCACACATTATGTATGAGGAGAAGAGATTACAGGAACAATTGCCCTTGCCGAGTGCTGATACTGTCCTCTGCCTAGGGTAAGGTTTCGGGTCTTTATTTTTTCTTGCTAAGAATTTTTTTTCGAAATAAAAAACTCCTGTGTATTGCTACTGTGCTGCCTCTGTTTAAAAAAAGAAAGTATTTAAGAAACGGCCAACTAACCTTGAGCATTACTCCTAGCTCCTCTGTACTTGTTGAGAACAAAATCAACCATTTGTTTATTCATCTGAGGATATCTAGAAAATCAGCATTGTTTGTAGTTGTGGGCCATTGTCTGTGGGAAATCATTTGAAAGTAATATACTAATCGGTTAAAAGGGCTTTGAAGTGCATAATGTTTGTTAGGCAGGAGGAATTTCTAACCATGAAGATGTCTGAGGATTTTTTACAATATAGAGATTATTCTTCTATTGACTTTATTTATTCATTTATACAACGGTTAATTCTATTGTCTTACTGGTCTCTGCAAATTTTATATTTACTTACTAAAGTGAGAGTTCAAAGTGGATTCCAAATTTAAAGGATAACTATAGTGTTAGATATACAAACATGTATTCCTAACAATATGGTGCTGGAGTAGGTCCCAAGCCCCCCGCAGAGTGGAGTAAAAAGGTATTTTATAAGAAAAGGCTACTGTAAATTTAGTCCGGCATTTTGCTGTGTTTTGCCAATTAGCATCTCTATGGGAAGTGGTCAGCGTCTCCATGCAGAGCAGAGTGCAGCACTGAAATATGAGGCACCTCTAGTGGACGTCTAGGTGACAGCAATGTAGACAGTGCCTTCTGTCTGAAAACTCAGCATTTGGATATGCTATAGACACCAGAACCACTACGTTAAGCTGTAGTGGTTCTAGTGACTATAGTGTGCCTTTGAAGGCTAGAGTTACTGAAGTGAAAACATAGCTGACTTACAGAATTTTTCAGTTAAGATATTTTGACCTCAAATTTGAAATTCACTTTGAATTCTCACTTTAGTGATTTACCCTGTTTAGTCACCATCTGGCAATTACAATAAAATGACTAAACAGACTTCATATGAGCCCCTTGGTCTCTTCGGCACTATTGCTTATAATTTGTTCTGCCTTTTTCATAAAGAACAATATAACACCTAAATGGTTAACCATTGTTCAAGTTCACCAAAATTAAAAAGCAGAAAGGTCTACCTCCACCCTCTGTTAACATTTCAGTGGGTGTGTGACAAATAACAAAAGTGCTGGGCCCTTATTTACTTGACTGTGTAAATGCTTTATGTGTGAAGAGGGTGTCCTCCTAGTTTCATTTTACAAAAAGTGCAGATTTCAACAGAAATTGGCACTTTTATTAATTAACCTGGTTACATCCCGTAGTTAATTTTTTTCTTTTTGTGTTTTTTAAATACTTTATTTGTGAATGAAGCACTTGACATATACATAGTGAACAATAAACATTGCCAAAGTTATGTTATTACAGTCAGATTTCTTGGTGTTGATACATGCCACGGTCCATCTCAGTCACGTGTGGCTTAGCGTTCCGGTTTGTCAAGATACTTTCGTTTTGCTTTTTATTTTTATATTTTTATGTAATGTAATATACAACTGTAACGATAGTCCGTAGACTAAGTAACTAATCGTTTCAACAGTGCTTATGAAAGCCTATGTATCCATCTACTTTTCCGGTAGGGCTCATGGCGTCTGTCTCCTCTAAGGTTGCCTCTAAGCTGCGATAGGTCCCGCCCTATATTTATTCATACCTTTCGGAGTTGGCTATCGGGCCAAGTTACCCACCGAACAAGCAACAGAGAGAGATAGAAAGAAAAGGGGAGGAAGAAAGAGAGACATAAAAGTATTAGAGAGGGTTCATCAGGCTGGAGAATGTTGGTGCCATAGTGTATGTTTTGTATGATACCATGTTAATTGGGACCCTATCGGGGGCTATCTCGTAGTGGGTTGAGGTGGGGTCGGTCGCGCCCTATCTGTGCTGATGCTCACTTAGGTTAGATCGCTAGAAGTCCAGGGTTCCCACATTTTCTCAATTCGTGACGTAGACCCTCGAACCCTAGCTGTTAAGCTGTCCATAAGGTATACATCTTTTATGTTTGACAGAATGGTTCTCGCCGGGGGTACTTCTACTTTCAGCCACGTTTGGGCTAGTGCTCTCCTGGTCGCTAACGTCACCTTGTGTATTAATTTTTGCTCTTTTTGTCCAGTTCTCTAGGGGTCTGTTAAGTAAGTATGTCCATGGGCTTAAGTCTGGAGCTCTATGAAAAAAGTGCAATATCAAGTTATGTATCTCCTTCCAGAAGATTAGTACCTGAGGGCATTCCCACTACATATGAAGGTACGTGCCTTTAAGGCCACATCCCCTCCAGCAGTTATCGGTAGGAGCTTTCCCCATTTGACGCAATTTAAAGGACCACTATAGTGCCAGGAAAACATACTCGTTTTCCTGGCACTATAGTGCCCTGAGGGTGCCCCCACCCTCAGGGACCCCCTCCCGCCCGGCTCTGGAAGGGGAAAGGGGTAAAAACTTACCTTTTTCCAGCGCTGGGCGGAGAGCTCTCCTCCTCCTCTCCGCCTCCGTTACGCCCCGCCGGCTGAATGCGCACGCGCGGCAAGAGCTGCGCGCGCATTCAGCCGGTCTCATAGGAAAGCATTTACAATGCTTTTCTATGGACGCTGGCGTGCTCTCACTGTGATTTTCACAGTGAGAAGCACGCAAGCGCCTCTAGTGGCTGTCAATGAGACAGCCACTAGAGGATTAGGGGGAAGGCTTAACCCATTAATAAACATAGCAGTTTCTCTGAAACTGCTATGTTTATAAAAAAAAAATGGGTTAACCCTAGAAGGACCTGGCAACCAGACCACTTCATTAAGCTGAAGTGGTCTAGGTGCCTAGAGTGGTCCTTTAACTGGTGTGGTGTACCACCTGAACAGTGTCTTATATACTTGTTCTTGGAGAGACACACATATGGATACTGAAGTATTCGCCTCCCAGATCTCCCTCCATTCTACTCCCTCCAGTACCTCCCCCAGTTCCCTCTCCCACGTGTCCGTGTAGGTGAGTGTGCCACATTCATCAGTTTCTGAGCTAATGTGTGCGTATAGCTTTGAAATAAGACCCGGTGGTATGCATTCGTTTAGGCACATTCTTTCAAAGAAAGGCATGTGCCCTGTTGCTGCTTGTTGTAGGTGTGGACGTTTCATATAGTCTTTAAGTTGTATGTAGCGGAAGAAGTCAGCTGGGGTGAGGTGTGTCGTCTGTTGCAGGTGATCGAATGTAATTAGCGTGTTATTCTTATACATATGGCATATCCTTTGGAGACCTGCTTTTTCAAGGTTAGCGAAGTCTCTTGCTGTCATTCCTGGGGGGAAGGCTCTGTTTCTGAACAGTGGGATGAGCGATGATAGGACGGACACTAGTTTAAATTTGTGGGCTGTGGCATCCCATATTCAGGGAATTTAGAATCGCCGGGCAGCTTGTGTGTAGGATGGGCCTATCCTCTTTTGGTACCCACATGTGGACACCCCCTAGTTCTTAAGCAGACAACAGATCCTGTTACTTCATCTGTGGAGCTAAACTGAAGAGGCAGGCAATTGCCGTACAAATACTTTGGTTGGAAAGTCTGATTGGACAGTTAGAAAAAGTAACGGGTGCTGAAGAAGGGGAGAGCTTGCAACAGCAGACAAGAGAACTGCAGCTTTTGCAATTGTTTATTTTTTTATTATTTAGTCCCCAGTGGAACAATGCATAATAAAATGCATGCATTTTTTTTATTTGGAGTATATCTACTAAATAAAGATATTTATATATTTTTTTCTATTTGGGCAGTGTCGTGTCTCTATAATAAAAGTAGGATTGAAAGATTGGGGGTCCCCTAGCACAATTTTGAGTTTAAATAGTATAAATTTAAACTATATGCTCCAGTGATATGTAGCATTTAATAATTTTCAGAATTGTCTGTTACTCTTATCACAGTTGGAATATGTAAATGAGAGTAGTTGTAGTTGACATTTTGCTTATCCTTCATGATTTTAGAATTGTGAATAATTAAAATATGAATTATTCCTGTCTTAAGATGTAATTTATTCAACATTTTTCAACAGTATTTTATTAACAATTCTGTACTTTTCAGATCCGTTGCCATAAACATGTCTGTCAGCAGCCACGAAAACCGCAAGTCTCGTTCTAGTACAGGCTCCATGAATATTCATCTCTTCCACAAGCCAGGCCATGCCGACAGCCTTTTAACACAGCTTAACCTGCTGCGCAAAAGATGTCTGTTCACAGATGTGGTGCTGCTGGCTGGGAATCGTGCTTTTCCATGCCACAAAGCTGTGCTAGCATCCAGCAGCCGCTATTTTGAGGCAATGTTCAGTGGTGGTCTGAAGGAGAGCAAAGATGGAGAAGTCAACTTTCAAGATGCTCTGCATCCTGAGGTCTTGGAACTGCTACTGGATTATGCATATTCTGCCCGTATTATCTTCAATGAGGAAAATGCTGAGTCCCTTCTAGAAGCAGGAGACATGCTACAGTTTCATGACATTCGGGATGCAGCGGCAGAGTTTCTGGAGAAAAATCTTCATCCAGCCAACTGCTTGAACATGATGTTGATTTCTGATGCACACTTCTGTGAAAGGCTGTTGGAACTGTCTTGGAGAATGTGCCTTGCTAACTTTGTGGAGTTATCAAAAACAGAAGACTTTTGCAGATTGCCAAAAATAAAGCTTATGGAATTAGTTCTCAGTGAGGAGCTGGAGGTTGAAGATGAGAGTTTGGTTTATGAGGCGGTGATGGGATGGATTAAATATGAGCTGCATACTCGGCTTGATGACCTGCCAGATCTCCTGCGCTGTGTTCGCCTAGCACTTTTGTCTGAGCAGTACTTGAGAAGTTTAGCCATGAATGAGCTTGTGGTGCAGAATAAGCTGGCCAAGGAAATTGTAGAAGAAGCAATTCGCTGCAGAACAAAGATTCTGCAGAATGATGGGCTGGTGACTGGCTTTTGTGCCCGTCCTCGGAAAGTTAGCCAAGCCTTGCTTCTTTTAGGAGGGCAAACTTTCATGTGTGACAAGATCTATGTGATGGACCAAAAGACCACAGAGATTATCCCCAAGACTGACATCCCTAGCCCACGCAAGGAATGCAGTGCATGTGCAATCGGCTGCAAAGTGTATGTTACTGGAGGTAAGGGTGCAGAGAATGGAGCCTCCAAGGATGTCTGGGTTTATGATACACTTCATGACGAGTGGTCGAAAGCAGGACCAATGTTGGTGGCCAGATTTGGACATGGGTCTGCAGAACTGGATAATTGTTTGTATGTGGTTGGAGGTCATACAGCCATAACAGGGGCTTTCCCAGCTTCCCCTTCTGTCTCACTAAAACAAGTGGAACATTATGATCCTCATATTGACAAATGGACATTAGTGGCTCCCCTCCGGGAAGGTGTCAGCAATGCTGCTGTGGTGGGAGCCAAGATGAAACTCTTTGTGTTTGGTGGCACCAGTGTTAACCGTGAAAAACTTCCTAAAGTCCAATGCTTTGACCCTCTTCAAAATAGGTGGACAGTTCCTACCACTTGCCCTCAGGCTTGGCGTTACACTGGCGCTGCAGTTCTGGGGAACAACGTCATTGTAGTAGGGGGTGACACAGAGTTTTCTGCCAGTTCTGCTTACCGCTTCAATAGTGAGACTTATCAGTGGTGCAGGTTTGGAGATGTTTCTTCCAAGAGGATTAGCTGCCGGGCAGTGGCCTCTGGGAACAGAATGTATGTGGTGGGTGGGTACTGTGGTACCCAGCGATGCAAGACCCTGGATTGTTATGACCCATCAAGTGACACTTGGAGCAGTGTAACCACAGTACCCTACTCCCTGATCCCAACAGCCTTTGTAAGCACCTGGAAGTATCTTTCAGCATAAGACCATGTACAGGTAAATCGCATTTCACCTCCCGTATAACGTCTATTTAAAAAAAAAAAAAAACATTGATACTGCTACTCCCATGTTGATAACTTTGGCAGTGCTTAAAGGACCACTATAGTGCCAGAAAAACATACTCGTTTTCCTGGCACTATAGTGCCCTGAGGGTGCCCCCACCCTCAGGGACCCCGTCCCGCAGGGCTCTGGGGAGAGGAAGGGGTTAAACACTTACCTTTCTCCAGCGCCGGGCGGGGAGCTTTCCTCCTCCTCCTCTCCTTCTTCCTTGCGACTTCATCGGCTGAATGCGCATGCGCGGCAAGAGCCGCACGCATTCAGCCAGTCTCATAGGAAAGCATTCATAATGGCATCTGAAAATCACAATGAGAAGAAATTCCATATCCTTATTGCTCTTACTGTAAAATAAACTTTTCTTTGCCTTAGATGAAATCTCCTTTCTTCCCGTCTAAATGTGTGACCTCGTATCTTATGTATAGTCCTGTTTATGAATAGATTTCCAGATAATGGTTTGTAAAATATATATTTTGTGGGAGTCAAAGCCAGGGAAGGTGTATCTAGGGCTGCATAAACGGAAACAAAATTGATTTAACTCCTAAATGACAGAGAATTGAGCAGTGAGATTTAAAGGGCATGATTTATACACTAAAACTGACTATAGTTTTAGACTATTGGTGACTATAGTTTAACACTAGAATATTGCTTTTAAAGATTATAGCAAACCTGTATTCTTGTGCATAGGTATAGAAATCATGTTGTTTTATTCCGCAGGTCTTTACAATTATAGAAAGGTGAATAGAGATGCATTGACTCAGTGCTAAATGTCGGTCCTACAATCCACTCCAGCTCTCTCATATGTTTTGGGTGCAGTTAAATTTAATTAAAACAATTAATAGTTTGTTAAGCGTGTGCATCATGGCCGGACTGGGAAAAAAATTTGGCCTAGGCATTTTTTAATCACAGTAGAAGAAAAAAAAAAAGGTGATAGCACAAAACCTCAGTAATATATTTTACCTTTTAGTTAAATGTTCACATAGAGGTCCTATTCCCAGTAATGATATTTAACTGTGGAACCTGTATACAATAAATATAAAATACAACATAGTGTATACTGTTGTAACAAATATACAATATTATGAGAAGAAAGTCACACTCACAATTTCCAGAGCCAAATAAGTTAGGCTCTGGACTATAGAGGCATTTCATCCACTAGTGGGATAAACATGATCCGGTTACTCCTCCTAGGTGTTCTCTGGTTTGGAGTCTTTATCAGGAATTCAGGAGCCAGATGGAATTAGTTGAAACAGGAATTTATTCAAGTACGTAAAACAACAAAATAAAATATAATATGACAGCTGGCACAACACGTTTGGACCTTCTTTGGTCTTCTTCAGGTGCAGTATGTCTTGCTACACCTATATATGTCCCCCCTACAGATATGGGAAACAGGTGTAGATGCTATTTCTGTAATTTAATGCCCAAATCTGTCCATAGCCGGAAGTAACCCGCCACCACTAAGATGGTGGTACTTCCGGTTTCGGCATACTTCATAACCATGTCCTTATAGTTGATATTTCCGGGTTTTCAAGATGGCGGTGTGTTAGCTTCCGGTGACGCACTTCCATTCTATTTCACAACGATCACTCCCTCTTCTCCTCCAGTTGAGCTGGAATGCTCCGCCGATCTTCAATATAGATCGTGATGTTCTCAAAGGAAGGTCCTTATATTGTCCAGAGTGGGGCACATTATATTTGACGATGTAAACGTCATTATTAGTCCCCAAATCTACATTTTGGATGAGGGCAGACCATCCAAATGTATATAGGATAAAATATGGGAAAACAAAAGTGCATATTGCAGATTAAAACCATAAAACAGCATTCCTAATATATAAATAATAAAAATATATTTAATCATAATACAACAGTTTTTTTTAAAAAGAGAACATGTATTCAAATGCATATAAAATGTAAAAAATTATTTTTGAATATATATAGTCACATACAAATTTATGGGATTGAACAAGTAGATTGAGGATCATAAAATCAAATTAATTTCAAAATCAATGTTAAGTCATCTTGTGTTAATAGGTTAGTTTCAGTCGTATTGTGTAATGTAATTATCCACAGGGTGTTTAGGTGCTGTAGAGAGTGTGTGTGTATAGGGGGCATAATGTGTATAGGGGATGTAGCGAGTGTATGCATACGGGCTGTAGTGTGTGTGTGTCTGTGTATAGGTGATATTTAGGGGTTGTAGAGAGTGTGTTTTTAGGGAATGTAGTAATATGTTTGCTTAAAGGAATCTAGTGTATACATAGGGGATCCAGAGTGTGTATGTCAGAAATGTAGTGTGTGGGGGGGATCTAGTGTGTGTTTGAAGGACTCAGAGTGTGTATTGGAGATCTAGTAAGTGTGTGTGTAGAGGATTCAGAGTGTATATAGGGATCTAGTGTGTGTATGTGTGTAGATGATCCAGAGTTGAGTAAGGGATCTAGTGTATGTCTGGAATGTAATGTGTTTAGGGGTGCAGTATGTGTGTGAGGGGTTCTGTAGTATACATACATATGTGTTTGTAAGTATTGTGTGTGTGTTTGTGAGGTGTGATGGGTGTAGTGTGTGTGAGAGAGGGGTGCACCGCGTGTGAGGGTGCTGTGTGTGTGTGTGTGTGTGTGAGAAAGAGAGTTGTGTGTGTGTGTAAGGGTGCTGTGTGTGAATATGTTTGGAGGGATTGTGTGCTGGGGAGCCAGGTTAATGTCAATATACAGTTGCAAGAAAAAGTATGTGAACCCTTTGGAATGATATGGATTTCTGCACAAATTGGTCATAAAATTTTATCTGATCATCATCTAAGTCACAACAATAGACAATCACAGTCTGCTTAAACTAATAACACACAACGAATGAAATTTCGCCATGGTTTTTATTGAACACACCGTGTAAACATTCACAGTGCAGGTGGAAAAAGTATGTGAACCCTTGGATTTAATAACTGGTTGAACCTCCTTTGGCAGCAATAAATTCAACCAAACGTTTCCTGTAGTTGCAGATCAGACGTGCACAACAGTGAGGAGTAATTCTTGACCATTCCTCTTTACAGAACTGTTTCAGTTCAGCAATATTCTTGGGATGTCTGGTGTGAATCGCTTTCTTGAGGTCATCCCACAGCATCTCAATCAGGTTGAGGTCAGGGCCACTTCAGAAGGCGTATTTTCTTCTGTTTAAGCCATTCTGTTGTTGATTTACTTCTATGCTTTTGGTCATTGTCCTGATGCAACGCCCATCTTCAGCTGGTAGACAGATGGCCTTAAGTTCTCCTGCAAAATGTCTTGATAAACTTGGGAATTCATTTTTCCTTCGATGATAGCAATCCGTCCAGCCCTGACGCAGCAAAGCAGCCCCAAACCATGATGCCCCCACCACCATACTTCACAGTTGGGATGAGGTTTTGATGTTGGTGTGCTGTGCCTTTTTATGCAGCAATGTTTTAAACGTGCAGCAATGTTTTGTTTGGACAGCAGTGGCTTCCTCTGTGGTATCCTCCCATGAAATCCGTTCTTGTTTAGTGTTTTACGTATTGTAGATTCACTAACAGGGATGTTAGCATTTGCCAGTGATTTTTGTAAGTCTTTAGCTGACACGCTAGGATTCTTCTTCACCTCATTGAGCAGTCTGCGCTGTGCTCTTGCAGTCATCTTTACAGGACGGCCACTCCTAGGGAGAGTAGCAGCACTGCTGAACTGTCTCCATTTATAGACAATTTGTCTTACCGTGGACTGATGAACTGCAAGGCTTTTGGAGATACTTTTATAACCCTTTCCAGCTTTATGCAAGCCAACAATTCTTAATTGTAGGTCTTCTGAGAGCTCTTTTGTGCGAGGCATCATTCACATCAGGCAATGCTTCTTGTGAAAAGCAAACCCAGATCTGGTGTGTGTTTTTTTTATAGGGCAGGGCAGCTGTAACCAACACCTCCAATCTCATCTCATTGATTGGACTCCAGTTGGCTGACATCTCACTCCAATTAGCTCTTGGAGATGTCATTAGTCTAGGGGTTAACATACTTTTTCCACCTGCACTGTGAATGTTTACATGGTGTGTTCAATAAAAATATGGCAACATTTCATTCTTTGTGTGTTATTAGTTTAACCCCTTAAGGACACATGACATGTGTGACATGTCATGATTCCCTTTTATTCCAGAAGTTTGGTCCTTAAGGGGTTAAGTAGACTATGATTGTCTATTTTTGTGACTTAGATGATGATCAGATCACATTTTATGACCAATTTGTGCAGAAATCCATATCATTCCAAAGGGTTCACATACTTTTTCTTGCAACTTTTTATGTTTTTCTTTTTTGTTTATAAAAAAAAAAGCAAGCATTCTATTAGGGATCGACCGATTATCGGTTTTACCGATATAATCGGCCGATATTCGGTATTCTCGGCAATATCGGTATCGGCCAATTCAGATACCGATATTGCCGATAATACCTCCTAGGACCGCCAGGCTCATTACAAGCCCGGCGGTCCTGGGGGGGCGGAGAGCAAGCGCTTACTCACCTCCCAGCAGCTCCTCCAGCTCCCCAATGCAACTCTCGCGAGACCCGCGGCCTTCCGAGCGTTGCCATGGATCACCATGGCAACGCTCCGCGCGACACGCTGGCCGCGAGAGTTGCATTGGGGAGCTGGAGGAGCTGCTGGGAGGTGAGTAAGCGCTTGCTCTCCGCCCCCCCAGCTCAGCCAATACCACCAGGGACTGTCATATCCCCCCTACCTGGCCAGGTAACAAGCAGGGAGGGGGGACAACAAAAATAAGAATTAATTATACATTTTTTTTTTTTATAATTTAATAAAAAATGCCCCCTCACACACTGCATTATATACACATACACTACACAAACACACTGTGTATATAATGCAGTGTTTGTGTAGTGTGTTTATATAATGCAGTGTGTGTTTGTATATATTGTGTGTGTATATAATTCAGTGTGTTTGTATAGTGTGTGTGTATATAATGCAGTGTGTGTGTTTGTATAGTGTGTGTGTATAATGCAGTGTGTGTTTGTGTAGTGTGTTTATATAATGCAGTGTGTGTTTGTGTAGTGTGTGTATATAATTCAGTGTGTTTGTATAGTGTGTGTATATAATGCAGTGTGTGTGTTTGTATAGTGTGTGTATAATGCAGTGTGTGTTTGTGTAGTGTGTGTATAATGCAGTGTGTGTTTGTGTAGTGTGTGTGTATAATGCAGTGTGTGTTTGTGTAGTGTGTGTGTATAATGCAGTGTGTGTTTGTGTAGTGTGTTTATATAATGCAGTGTGTGTTTGTGTAGTGTGTTTATATAATGCAGTGTGTGTTTGTGTAGTGTGTTATATAATGCAGTGTGTGTTTGTGTAGTGTGTTTGTGCAGTGTGTGTTTGTGTAGTGTGTATATAAGTGCAGTATGTGTGTTTGTGTAGTGTTTATATAATGCAGTGTTTGTGTAGTGTGTTTATATAATGCACACTACACAAACACACTGCATTATATACACACACTCTGCATTATATAAACACACTACATTCACTATATACACAAATACACACACACTCTGCATTCATTATATACACACACACTTTGAATTTAGTATATACAGCATTCACTTTACGCACACTACCCACACATTCTGCTTTTATTATATACACACTACACTAATACACACTGCATCCACTACACACACTAGACAAATACACACTGCATCCACTACACACACTACACAAACACACACAGCTCCCCTGTCACACTGCATCCACTGCACGTTGCATGTATATTTTGTGCATTTACCTTTAGAAATAGTTTTTATTTTCCAAAATGGTAAATGTACAGAATATCGGCAAATTATATCGGCTATCGGCCTGAAAGTTCACAGAATATCGGTATCGGTATCGGCTCTAAAAAATCAATATCGGTCGATCCCTACATTCTATCCCCCCTCTCTTCTTACCTTTAGCGTGGGAGGGGGTGCTTTGCTGCAATCCCTGGTGGTCCTAGTGGTGAGTGAACTCTAGCCCTCCAGGCTTTTCTTTGTGGCAGTGTTTATAATGCTTCATTTACCAAATATGTAAATATTTCACGTATTGACAGCCTCATATTGCATAAATTATCCGTATTTTATGTTGAATAACCTTTGACTATAATGTATCTTAAACATAAAACTAACTTTTATAGGTTTTTAGTAGTTTTTTTTTTAAATCCACCCTACATGTAGCACATAGCCATTCTAGTTTTGCAATTATATTAAATGACAAGACTGTTGATATGTGATAGACATGTTAATACTGTCAATGTGTTGATTACAAAACAAATTATACCTGGTACGAAATAATATTCTGTTCTTTTTCTTTGGATCCATTCACACCTGTTAAATGTGTGTCTGTCTGTTTTCAAATTGTTACATAGTTATGCTCTATAGACAACCATGTATTCCTGACCCTATAGTGTTAAAACTACTATCTAGGCCCCCCCTTACCTCCTTTCTCTCCCCACTTTGCCTCCCCAAATATAACAAAATCTTACTTGTATTCAAGTCTGCAGCTGCTGGCTCTGCCCCGTCTGCCTCTAAAATGGCTTCTGTCTGCTGACATCATCAGAAGTGGTGGTCTGAACTGATCACTATGCTTCCCCATAGGATTGGCTGAGACTGTCAAGGAAGCAAATCGGGGGCAGAGCCAGCACAAATCAAAACAGCCATGGCCAATCAGCATCTCCTCATAGAGGAGGAAAGTTTAGTGAACGGAGGCACTGAATTGCAGTGCTGCTCACTGTGCAGCACTGCCCCAGGAAGCACCTTAAAATCTATCCCTGAACCTGAAACCCCGTCAGCAAAGCATTTGTTGCACATATTGGCAGCACAAGGAACTTATCCATTATTGTTGTAAAGACCTATTAAATATTGTAACGGAGCTCCTTGTACTCCGACTGAGTACCCTCCGTTGACGGATGCTCCTAGCGCTTCCTGAGGACACCACAACCACCGCAGACTCCGCAACCGCTGTATCTTGACTGGAGTCTCGCCGTCTTACTTCCACCCTGGACCAGCTTCTGTCCTCCAGGACTTTGTGGAAAAGAACTCTTCCTTCCACCCTGGATGAACCTCTCCAGCATCCAGGACTGTGTGGTGAAGACCCCTCCTCCAAGGAGAGCGTGTCAGGAACAAGCTCTTAAAAGAGCTAAGTGACTCAAGCTCAGGGGAGCATGCAGAGCATAGCAATCTCCAGTGTGATTATAACAGCTCCCTCCAATAACGAGACAAGGCTACGTTTAGAGGGATCAAGAAGAACTGTCAAAACCTTTATTCCCAGCCAATAGGGTCACCACAATAACATTGTTGTGAAAACTCAATAAAATCACAAACAGTCAAACCAAATCAAGCAACACACAGTGACTTATCACAACACAATGGCACATTTTTAAAGGGGTAGGGGGAGACAATATTTAACAGTAAATATCTCACCTGCCTGCAGAATTATCAATATGCAAATCAACCCGAATATGCAAATGACCAGGTCATGCAATTCAGGTAGTGCATATTGCTGTTGCTACCAACAGAGGGCACTAGACAAGCTCCATAGCCAAACCCACCTAGTTGGTAGCAAACCTCAGCAATACAAGAGAGCAGGCAATACATTACACAGTACACACACACACACACACTATAAACAAACAATTACATTACACACACCCTGCACCTATAATGGGTACAGGGTGACTAAAACATAAGATAAATAAAGCAGCCTACATAAATAGTCTGTCTGAAGGTAGACTAGGAGCTTTAAAGCCAGATACATGAAAGAGTCATAGTCACAGGGGAGGAGGCTGGCAAGTAGGCCTCTCCAGGACCAAGTGGCGAAGGGCACTTCGTCACAAATATGTTGACACTATACTACATAATTGTACAGATAGATGGCAAATACACAAAATAAGACCCTAAAATTAGCCAACCGTCCATATATACATATTTTTTTAAATATCAACTGTAGCTCAGTTTCTTACTGTAATTGTATATTTCCAGGCAGAAACACTGTTCATAAAATATTTTGCATTTCCTATTAGAAACATTCTAAGCACCATAACCACTACAGCCAATGGTGTCAAGTGTGTCATAGCACCCTTTGTGTGAGTAAAGTATTCAAACTACTTAAGAATGGTTTGACAACTTACCTGGGTTACTGCGGCTACAGGGCTGGGCTTACTCATTTGCAAAGAACCCTAACAGAGTTCTATCAGCCTGTGAATGTGGCCCTGTACAGCTTGGCTGAGCTCAGTGGCAGGGTTTCTCATGGTAGGGGAGGTGGCGCCAGGATCCTTATTAGTTGTCAAGATGTTTAAAAAATAAAAATAAAAAAAAATTTCAATTGTGGTGCAACATTTGGATCTTTAAAGACAGTCATGCACGTAGGTGCACCAATAAAGTCAAGGTTCTGTGTCGTTTGTGGTTTGCACCTTTTTGGGTCGTGCCATAACAGTTTCTAAAACAACAGTAACATTTTAAAACAAAACTTAGTGATCAGTACATGGGTGTTATGATGTTTTGTGCTTCTTTGTGTTTGAGATGGGACATGCTGTAGTTTAGCAGCTCTCGGTTGCAGGGTTGTGTCAGTTCCATGTGTCGTGATCAGATTCGCTGTGCTGGGTATGGTTGTCTGCCTGCGCTAATGGAGGTAAGCTATTGGTCGTAGTTGGCTAGTTTGGGTTGGATGCCCCTAACCAAGGGGGATGCGGGGGGGTGATTTCTCGCGCGCCCTGTGTTTGGACGCGTGCTGTGCTGGCTCTCATTCGTTTAGAACCTAGGTACCCTCTACCAGGGTCAGTGCATCAGTGGCCTGTGGTGTTTGGTATTTATAGCGGGGGCTAACGAGTTAAGAAAATGAAACGTAGGTAAAGTCTCAGTAAGAATTTAAAATATAATGTGTGCAACAGTCACATTGGCAAAGCCTGGGTGTCAGTCCACTTCAATCATGGTACAGGCTGTTGTGATCCGCTGGGTTTTTGTTCCAGCTAGGCGGCATTCCCGGGGCCCCATGCTTCCCTTTGAGGGCTCTTTTGTGGTCGAGGCATCGGGTTGGGTAGTCTCAGGGTGGTTAGGAGGGTAGGTGCTTCCTCCACGGAGGTTAGGACATGGGTGGTGCTATCTTGGGTTACTTCTAGAGTCCCGTTAGCGCCCCACTTGTATGCGATTCCCGCTGCTCGGAGTTGTGTGGTGAGTGGTCCATAGGATTTGCGCCACATGAGGGTGGCTTTTGATAGGTCCTGGAAGAACGTTAGGGAAGAGTTCTCAAACAGCAGTGGTGTCCTGCCTTTCAGCCCGGCCATTATATGTAGTTTGTCTTGCACTGTGGCACATCTGAGAATGACGTCTCTTGCCGTTGGGGACCTTAGGTGGGGAGGGGAAGGCAGGCGGTACACCCCACCTATGGTCATTTTAACCGCTGTGTGTGGGAGTACTGTAGCTAGAAGGCATCTGGTGTAGTGCGGCAGCTCTTCGGCCGATATTTCCGCGGGGATGCCCCTGATTTTAATGTGAGAGAGGCGTTGTCGATCTTCCATGTTTAACATTTTAAATGACAGGTACGTTTGTTGTTGCTGGATTTGTTTGATGGAGTCTTCCATTGTGCTTATGTGAGCGTGTACTGTCACTACTTCTGCTTCCGTGGCTCTCACCTTTTCTGTGACCGTGCGTAGTTCGGTCTTGAGGAGGGCTGAGTCAGCTGATAGGAGTTTGTGGATGTCTGCTAAAAGGAGCTTTAAGTCACGTTTGGTGGTTGGTGCAGAGTCATCTGGGGACTCCAGCAGCGGTTACAGTGGTGCTTGTAGGTGCCCTGGTGAGTCAGGTCTGGGCTGTGGTGGGTTGTGCACCCGTTAATGCTGTGCTGCCCATGGGGGTCCCTGTAAATATGGGCCTTGTTGTGCCTGGGTGTGTGTCCTATCCAGCTGTGGTGATTGGTGCTGCCCTGAGGGTTCAGACCCCTGCTGACCTGTTTTGGGTGCCTGAGGGAACCCTGGTGTTTCTGGCCGTTGTCGGGGTGTGGTAGATGTCAGGTTTACCTCCGGCGTTGCTGCCGCGGGTGTGGGTTTGGGCTGGGCGGGCTTTTGAAGCATAGTCCCGATATCCCTGCCCGCGGCCGTACCTTGTGGCTTTTGTGACCGGCGTCCTATAGCTGGCGTGTGAGCCTGAGTGTTGGATAGGTCCGGGGAGTAGGAGGTGTCGATGTGTTCCGCCAGGTATCCGTTCAGCAGGTCCTCGAGGCCCAGGATCGTTGGGGTATAGTAGGCCCCGGTCTTGCGTCTCCGTTTCTGCAGCCTTTGTGATTGAAAAAAAGGCATTGGGAGACACGGCTCGTTGTGCTGATGCCGGTCGTGTACGTGGCGATGCTGGATGGGTCAGTGAGAGACCGATTTTTGATGGATTTTGTCCGCAGGATTTGGGAGCTGATGAAAATATCGTCCGTTCGTGTCGGGTTGCAAGCCCCGCCCCTTGTCAAAATGTTTTTAAACTGTTTGAATACTTACTCTGGACGGTGCCAGGGCAGTCCTGGCCTCCTAAACACCACCACTACAGCTGCCTGTAGTGGTTATGGTCTTTTTATTAGATTGAGCCTTTGTTCAACCATCACTGCATAGGATTAATCAATTTAATATATGTGTGTGTTTGTGTGTGTATATATACATTATCCCATATGCAATGAAGGTTGAACAAAGCCTCAGTTTTTAAAAAAGGAACACCTGAAGATGTAGTGGTGGTGTTTATGATATCAGGAGTAAGTAGTGAAACTGTCTAAAAACATCTTGACAACTAATAAAATAGTAGATATTTTAGTTTTGTCCAGACCGTAACGTTCAGAACTGCTTGGCATAATTTTACTTGAATCAGTGCATTTTTTTAAAAAGGAACTCTCTACATCCCTAAAGAACTCTTGATGGCATGCTTTGTGTGAAGAGTCAATGACATGCTTTGTGTGAGTTAATTCAATTAATGTGGATTTACGCTGTTTTGTATATTTCCTTATTTTTAGGTCATCAGCTGGTTCTCTTTTTTTGTATATATACTTTGTGTGAAAAGTGTATTCTCTCTCCCCACCCAACTATTTTACAAAGTGCAGATTTCAATATAAATTGACATTTTTAGAAATTAAAGTGACACTTTAGGCAGCCAGACCACTTCAGCTCAATGGTAATTATTGCAGTTATTGAGAAAATAATTACATTGCACGGTTAACACCACCTCTAGTTGCTATCTAGCAGACAGCCACTGTAAGGTTCTTCAGGGTGGTTATGTGACTTTTCATCGCCTAACTGACGCTGGACGTCCTCACGCTCTGCATGAGGACATCCAGCGTCAATTAAAACCCTCTATGGGATTGTCCTAATGATATCGCTGTGTTTGCCGCGCATGCGCATTAGGTCTCCAATGTCGGGGGCAGAGCCTGACCCAGCGCCGAAATCCTAGCCCATTCTGCGTTGAGGGGGTTCGCGAGCGAGGGGGGCAATATAGGCTAGGAATACAAATTTGTATTCCTAGGCTACAGTTTCCCTTTAACCTTATTAAACAACCCGTCCTGTTACTTTTTGGTTAACCCCTTAACGACTGGTGTCACAGCGGTGTAATGTACTTACCCAATCGCCGTCGTTCCCCCGGCAGCAATCAGCGGTGCTCCCGGTGTGGGGAGACTGCCTGCAGTCCAGGCAGTCTCCCCATGGTGAATTAGGACCCCTGGGGCCATGTGATCGCTCAACAGAGCGGTCACATGGTCACAATAGGTGTCCATGTGTCTGCCTGCAGGTGGACTGCCTGTGCTGACAGGCAGTCTCCCTGCAAGTGTAAAATCCCCACAAAAAATGAATGTTATTAAAAAAAATAGAATTATGGTGGCGGGACTTCCGGTCCAACTGAACGGTCGCATGCTGTGAGTGCTCCGTGACTGGACCTAAACAGTGGCATACACAGCGGCAAACAGCCTACCCCACTCCACAAACGACGCCAGAGGTAAGGGGAACACCCCCCCACCCCAACATGACTTTTTCCGGCAAGGAAAAAAAGACCGTCTCCGTTCCGACCAGGATGGCGGCGGCTCCCACTCACCAACACACACGTCTGAAACAGGCTCTGATAATGAGTCACGGCAACCCTCCACAGGTGACCTCTCTGTGTCAGAGAAGAAATTAGCAGCCATGCCCCATGAACTGCGCACCTCTATGAGAACCGACTTTCACACAGCGGTCTCAGATCTGCGCAAAGACCTCCTGGAAGTGGGGACACGAGTGAATGTACTGGAGGAAAAAACTGATGAGCTGTGTCAAGCCAACGATGCAATAGTAAGCAAATTGCAGCAACTGGAAAATGACAACAGGCGCCTGACGGAAAAAATGGCGGACTTAGAAGACCGCTCCCGCCGCAACAACATCCGCGTGCGGGGAGTGCCGGAAAAGGTGACACAGGAGGATCTGCCGTCCTACCTACTGCGCCTATTTCAAGCTATCCAACCAGCCCTGGCACCAGCAGACTTACGCCTTGATCGGGCACACAGGGTACCAAAACCCACCAACCTCGCTCGAGATGTCCCAAGGGACGTAGTGACCAGATTACACTATTACAGCGCGAAGGAAGCTATCCTTACAGCGCAGAGAAAGTCCTCCGAAATGCCACCTACATATGAGGAGATATCACTATATGCTGATCTATCACCGACGACGATGTCCAGGAGACGGGACTTTATTAATGTCACGAAGTGCCTCAGAAACCACAAGGTGCCTTACAGATGGGGCTTTCCCACTAAACTCTTGATATGGCGAAATGGATCACTGACTAAAGTTGAAGACCCGACCCAGGGAATGGAGACCCTCAAATCCTGGGGATTATTCCCCACTGACAACGCACCCACGCCCCCGGCCCCACTGCGGAAAGTGGCCACAAGCTGGACAAAGGCCTAACCAATGGCGCAGCCACGGCTCTCCCTCACTCGGGCGAGTACCGGCTTAATCTCCAAAACCTGTGGCATCCTTCAGATCTACGCCCGTGCTATGAACTGTGGTAACGACAGGGTTTTTCATTTGCACGTGAGTACAACTGCACCCTAGCCCTGCCACGCTTAGCCGCCTTACCACTATTTCTTCCCGCCACCTCATACCCTGGGCTTACCGCCCCATCCGGGAACCAGGAACGTTACCTGTCTGGACTTACACCATCAGTGGGCGAAGGACTCCTCCACCCCTACCCCACACCCTACTATGCCCTAGAAGGCCATGATGAGGTACAAGAATCGGCCTAGGCCTCCGCCTTCGTCCTTGCTGCCAGCGGCCTTTACCGCCCCCCCCTGTGGGCCCCGGGGAGAGTTGCCCCACCTCAACTTCTCAGCCCTGCCAAGGGGTTGGTCTGTGACAGGCGTTTAGGCCCCACCGAATGCTGAAGAAACCCCTCTCCCCCCCCCCCAAAGCTCTCTTAGGACACCACCTGCCGCTGCAGCCCCCCCCTCAGAGCAGTAGAGGGTGCGCGCTCGGCGGTGGGGTCCTCCACATAATGCTTCTTAGCTATTTGCTCTGCATATACTTTGTTTATGTTGTATATTTTTGTTCTCACCGTTATCAGCTATGTTATTTCCCATGCCCCGACCCTACCTCTGAGATGCTCCCTTTCCACCATAAGATGAGCGATAAAGTGTTCGCCAGAGACATCCCTAAGCCTCACTGCGCTAAATCCGCGAGACAACCTCTCTCACCCAGATGTGCCTATGAGGCGCCCAACCCCCAATACAATGAACCCCCCTAGCAAGTTACTCTTGGTGTCCCTGAATGCCCATGGCCTTCAATACCCCACAAAAACGTAGACTGGCCTTGTCTCAATTAAAGACCCTGAAGGCTTCGGTCGCATGTATACAAGTAACCCACTTTTCCGCTACGAACCCCCAAAGTTTTCGGCCTCCTCATATCCACTAGCGTATCACGCCCTAGCGCCTAACAAGACAAGAGGGGTCAGCACACTATTCCACTCAGATTGGCATTTCCAATGTGAAAGGGAATATAAAAGCCCTGACGGTAGGCTCCTGATCCTGGTGGGCCTCCTCAATGACGCACAGGTGACTATAGCAAACCTTTACGCCCCCAAGTCAACCAGTTTCCTACGAAAGGCACTGAGAAGGGTTGACAAACTAAAGAAGGGACAGACGATGATATGCGGGGACTTTAACTGTGTGTTAGATCCTGACCTGGATAGGTCAGGGGCACCGGGCTCCCACCCAAGAGACAGGCTCCTAGGGGACAAACTGACGACGCTCCTCCATCTCCATAATTTGCACGACACCTGGCGGGCACTCTACCCAGCTTCTAGGGACTATACTTTTTACTCCAGAGTCCATGACCAATATTCCCGCATAGACATGTGCTGGGTCGACACTAAAACCCTGGATACCCTAGCGGAGGTCGCTATTGCCCCGATAACCTGGTCGGACCATGCCCCCCTCACATCGTCATTCTCCACACTACACCCAGTCCGAGGGCGGGGACAGTGGAGGCTCAACGAGTCTCTCATAGACGACCCCGAGAGGGCCTCTGTGATCAGGAGATCACTAACACACTACTTCGAAGTCAACCACTACACTTACACAAGCGTTACCACGACTTGGCTGGCCCACAAGGCAGTCACTCGTGGAGCACTCATACAGATGGGGGCAAAACTGAAGCGCCAATTATCTGAGAAAAGTGACATGTATACAAGTAACCCACTTTTCCGCTACGAACCCCCAAAGTTTTCGGCCTCCTCATATCCACTAGCGTATCACGCCCTAGCGCCTAACAAGACAAGAGGGGTCAGCACACTATTCCACTCAGATTGGCATTTCCAATGTGAAAGGGAATATAAAAGCCCTGACGGTAAGCTCCTGATCCTGGTGGGCCTCCTCAATGACGCACAGGTGACTATAGCAAACCTTTACGCCCCCAATGTCAACCAGTTTCCTACGAAAGGCACTGAGAAGGGTTGACAAACTAAAGAAGAGACAGACGATGATATGCGGGGACTTTAACTGTGTGTTAGATCCTGACCTGGATAGGTCAGGGGCACCGGGCTCCCACCCAAGAGACAGGCTCCTAGGGGACAAACTGACGACGCTCCTCCATCTCCATAATTTGCACGACACCTGGCGGGCACTCTACCCAGCTTCTAGGGACTATACTTTTTACTCCAGAGTCCATGACCAATATTCCTGCATTGACATGTGCTGGGTCGACACTAAAACCCTGGATACCCTAGCGGAGGTCGCTATTGCCCCGATAACCTGGTCGGACCATGCCCCCCTCACATCGTCATTCTCCACACTACACCCAGTCCGAGGGCGGGGACAGTGGAGGCTCACTGAGTCTCTCATAGACGACCCCGAGAGGGCCTCTGTGATCAGGAGATCACTAACACACTACTTCGAAGTCAACCACTACACTTACACAAGCGTTACCACGACTTGGCTGGCCCACAAGGCAGTCACTCGTGGAGCACTCATACAGATGGGGGCAAAACTGAAGCGCCAATTATCTGAGAAAAGTGACTCCCTACTGAAGGAGTTACAGTTAGCCGAAACACGACACAAAGCCTCACCCACTGAACCCCATAGACTTGAAGTCCAAAACATCAGGTCCACATTAGAAACACTACAAATGCAACGGGTCGAGCGAGCCATTAGGAAGATGAAAACAACTTACTGTAGGCAGGGGAACAGGGCGGGTAAACTGCTGGCCTCTCAGATCAAGGCGAGAATCTCCCAGGTAAAAATCCCCTATGTCAAGAATGATCATGGAACCAAAGTCATGAACCCCAAAGCGATTGTAGACGAATTTGCTACGTTTTACGCAAAATTATACAATCTCTCCGGGGATTCCACCCAGCACCAGCCCACTCCTCAGAACATCGCCACCTTCCTAGAGGGCATACACCTTCCCCAGCTCTCCACCGTGCATGCCACAGCGCTGACAACTCCGATACTACCCGCCGGGACACCCCGAGGCATAAAGCCCCAGGACCGGACGGCTACTCCGTACACTATTATAAGGTGTTTGAGGACCAGCTAATCCCCCATCTCACGGCACTATTTAACCACATTCTAGACACGGGTAACATACCCCCGGAGATGTTAGAAGCCACAATTGTCACAATTCCCAAACCGGGCAAACCCACAAACCTATATGCAAACTACCGCCCGATCTCGCTCCTTAATGCTGACACCAAACTGTTTGCCAAGGTCCTAGCAAACCGTATCCGACCCCTTCTAAGCCAACTTGTCTCACCTGAGCAGTCGGGCTTTGTTCCGGGCCGCCAGGTTGAGGACAACACCAGACGAGCCCTGGACATAATGGAACTCATGGACTCTGACCGTTTACAAGGCCTTATGATTGCCCTAGATGCGGAGAAAGCCTTCGACAGGCTCCACTGGGGCTACATGTCGGAGGTCCTGCGCAGGTTTAACTTTCCACCCAAATTCTTGACTGGACTCTTATCCCTGTACACTTCCCCTCGAGCGACTGTCATGAGCGCCGGATTCGTCTCTAGACGCTTTGATCTGACGAACGGCACACGACAGGGCTGCCCACTCTCGCCCCTCATTTTTATCTTCGCAATGGAGCCCCTAATCCACAAAATCAAGGCAAACCCTAACATCACGGGGGTCCCCTCCCCAACTGGACAACACAAATTAGCAGTGTTAGGCCGAATAAATGCCATCAAAATGGTCATCCTTCCACAAATACTATTCCTTTTCAGGGCCCTACCGATTACCCTCCCTAAGTACACCCTCCAAAGCCTTATTAATGCGCACATATGGAAAAGAAAACCACCAAGGGTATCTCTGGCGAACATTAGTATGGTCATGGGAGGGGGCGGGGTGGGAGTGCCCCACATAACCAAATACTATCTAGTGACACACCTGTCCCAGATGGCACGCCTCCTGACTTCCTCAGACTACCCAAAGTGGTACCATCTGGAGAGCGCATTCAGCGCACCTCTATCCCTCGGTGACCTACTGTGGATTCCGACAAAGGCCCAACCCCACCATCCCAAGATACTCTCGACATCGAAGGGATCACTTCAGGTGTGGCTCAGATGGGCCCCAAAAATGACTGGTGGGAATATAGAAGCCCTTGCCCCGTTGACTAGTCTCCAGCGACACACTTATGACCTCCCCCTATTTTGACACGATGTGCCTGGGCCAAAAAAAAAACAAAAAGCCACTGTCCCTATGTTATCACCGCCTACTAGATTTAGACAGACCAACAAAACAATCCTACATGTTACAGTGGGAAAGGGAGCCGAACGGTACCTTTGAGCCGCACAGATGGGTGGGGGCCATGTCATTGGTAAAAAAAAAGCCACACACTGTCTAGACCATGTAGAAGCGGCCTACAAGTTGTGGCTTCGGTGGTACTATACGCCTCAACGGCTGGCCGAAATATACCCGGGCAACGTGCTGGCGATGCAATCAACAAGAAGGCACCCTAAGCCATATATTCTGGTACTGCCCTGCACTCAGCCGATACTGGCAACAAATTCAAGACCTGATAAAACTCAGAGTAGGGATACACCTGCCGCCTGCCCCTGAACATTACCTGCTCCATATGCTACCGCTCGACATAACAGCCCACGAGGCTTCACTGATCACCCACATCACACTCGCTGCAAAGCAACGGATAGCTGCCCTATGGAAATCCACCCTGGCACAAGACATACAGTCGGTAATTGCCAAAGTGAATCTCACCCAACAGTATGAGAAGATGTCGCACACGATTTGCGGTACCCTCCTGAAATATAATCGCACTTGGTCCAAATGGTAGATGGTTGTGACACCGAGGTGACGAACACCTCCCTCTAATACATATGAATAGGGGAGCATCTCGTACCCCCCCCCCCTTCCTAGTTCACGCCCTCTCCCACCTACTTCCACCCCCCACTTTTCCCAAGAAACTAAGGGTTATAGCCGCGTTGGCAAGCCTTTCCAACTCTGAGGAGACCAGTAGAGTGGTTACGGAATGAACAGCCTATGGAGTTACTGTATATGTGACATCTTGAAGCACCGCTTAAATACTTATGTAACCAGAAATTAGTTACTACTCAGATCTGTTACTGTACCTGTTTTCTTATGGCTCCAATGTAATGTATTCTACTATGTGATACAATGGTGTTACACCCTTAATAAAAATGATAAATATAAAAAAAAAAAAAAATAGAATTATATATATGTGTGTGTGTGTGTGTGTGTGTATATGTATGTATGTATGTGTGTGTGTGTATGTATGTATATATATATATATATATATATATATATATATATGATATATATATATATATGATAGACATATATTATATATGTATTAAGGCAATTTTGCCTGGATTTGTGGGAGGTGCTGGTTTGCTACCCCTAGCCTACTTAAGGCACTCCCCTTACCTTGCTCCTTACCGTTCGAGGTCAGCGTTGAATGAGTATCCACTTCCGGGTTCTCTCAGACGCCATCTTGGTTTTTCAGTATCCACGAGATTTTACCGCGGCAAGCTGTGTCCAGGAATCCTGTTCAGGCCTTTTCCGTCCGTCCAGCTTCTTCTTACCCTGGTCATCGTCGTAGATCGCGTCCCAGGGACTCCTAAACCGTAAGTCAGACCTACCTGTCACGCCAGGACCGGTTCCCACGGCGCACGGTACAGCACGGGTCCTCGCTTTACGTTTTTTCTGCACAGTCGTATTACATAGCCTTTCGCGCGGCTTCATTTCGTACAAATTGTTTGGTTAAATTCATGCGTATTAGAGAAGTGATCAGCTCGCACAACTGTTTTCCCTTGCTTCATTTAAACGATTATCATTTGGTTGTGTTTTCCGTTCGGCACTTATTCATGTTATATTCATGCAAGATTGCTGTTCGCATTAAAGTGCATACGTTTAAGCTATTCGTGCCTGTTTCATGAGTTACATTTCATCATTTCATGTATATACATTTGGTTAAATAGTTGCTTGTTTAAATAGACAGACCATTTTCATTGCTATTTTAAGGTATCACTTATTACATCAAGGGCATGAAACCAGCTAACATTTCTGTATGGATCATTGGACTCCCACTCTTACAGGAGTTTTTCATAAATTATCCATTTCATTTCAATTAACTCAGCCAACGTTACAGGCCTCATTTCTTTGTTATGACCATGACACATAAGGCATTAATTCCTTTTCATGCATACTTGGGTTGAATCACACGTACTGATCCAACCAATCATACATTTCCTGCACAGTAATACATATATATATATATATAACCTACATTTTATGTTTCCCTTAACTTATATGGTATCAACATTTTATTTTCAATCATACGCCAGCAAACCATAAAAACATTGCTGCTACAGGCTATAAGTCTGTTTTCTTTCCAACAATCCACACTCATCATACTACTCTCTTTTACACATTTCAGGCTGTCAAGCTTATATATATATTTGCTCCACACGGTTTTCATGTGAATTTGTCATACTACCAGGTACGTACACCTGCTCATATGGTATTCTACCATACATTTCATTTCGGCCCCCTAGGTTAGAGTACTGGCAATAGGGTCACAGGCTTCCCAATAGGTATTTACCCTGTCTTGGCAGTCGCCATCAGTTACTGGTCCCGTGAGGCCAACACCCCGCCTCAAACGTTTCAGAGGCAAACACCCATCGGGCCACACGTTAGCTAGCCGCCTCACATGTTGCATAGAGAGGGCCTCACCTGTCACTCCCTTCCCCTGTTTTCTGTCTTACAGTCACCGAGCCTAAAACTCCTGCCACTACGATGAGTGGCCTCAATAACCCCTCGCGCCAACGCATAGATAGAGCCTCTCAAGCCGCTTGGCAATTAGCAGGGCCTCATCTGTCACCAAACAAGTATAATGTTTCGCCATCCGGCCTAGCTAGCCTGCCAGTACAATTTGGTGGTTTCATATACTAATTAATTGTTTTATTTATAGTATGTCTCAAGAAAGGGTAAAGGATTTCTCCCTGCCTAGCACCCCGGCTAGAGCTGTCTCTCCCACACAAGGAGGAGAACTAGCTAGTCCAGCATCGATCAGATCCTGGACGATCCCGCGTATAACCACAGAATTAAGGAGACGACAAATCCCCTACCCCGCTACAGCAAGGAAAGCAGAACTTTTCAAACTGCTACTCACATCTACAAATAACATGGATGCCGGGGAAGGACCTAGCCAGTCCAACCCAGGAGACATACATGCCATGTTATCCTCACTCATGGCGTCCATGAGTAAGGTCAACTCCAGGCTGGAGAAACTTGAGTCGGTCACCACGGCCCTTACTCTAGTAGGGCCACCCGCTGCTGCTTCACAAGCACCAGCCGACTTGCCATTAGTTGCTCCAGCCACCACCCTGGATGACCAGGAAGTTAGGCTGGCTCATATGATACCTGAGCACATAAAAAGGGATATCCTGGAAGGTAAAGACGTCAACCTGGCTTCTCTACTGATTGCCTCCCAGGATATTGTGGAGAATAAGACTTATGCTTATGATGATGTGTCTGTTGTTGTCAGATCAAGGGACGTCCGCCTAAACAGGAAATTGACTATTCCCGAGTTTGTACTGGCCTTTGGTATTTACCGAGATGTCATCTGTATGGTCTATCCCAATAGACGAGAGGAATTTGATCTCTATATGCACAAGCTGGTAGACCTGGGCAACAAATATGGTGGTTCAGCCTTCTATGACTACCATAGGTCTTTTTCTGCAAACGTGTCTGGAGCCTTCTCCCAGTACGGAAGACGATCCAGCTGGGGAAGGATTGATACCGTCATTTTTTGCAGACACTTTGCAGGTCTAAGAACACCAGCTTGTGCATACTGCTCCTCCACAGCCCATGCTACAAGGAGCTAGTTCCAGAGAAGTTGTCAAGAGACAAACTAGGATGCCCAATCAAGTTTCTGGGCAAGTCCCAGATATGTAATAATTTCAATGTTGGGTCTTGTAATTACAGTGCATGTAGACTATTGCATGTCTGTTCAAAATGTTTTAGGGCACATGCAAAGACCATGTGTCCAAATAAAATGTATTCCAAGCCTTACCTAACGTCCATTAATATGCCAGTATTCACGGCATTTATGTCTCAGCACCCATCTAGACACCTAGTAGACTTTCTCATCTCTGGTTTAACAGAAGGCTTCCATACAGGTATCCTACACATACCAGCCGGAACTCTGGGATGCCCTAATCTACAGTCCACCCAACACAACCCCACAGCGGTTGACACCCTCATAGCCCAAGAAGTAGATGAGGGTTTCGTATTGGGGTCTTTCAAAACTCCTCCATTCATAGAATGGCGCACCAACCCTATTGGTATTGTCACAGGGAAATCTTCCCAAAAACAGAAACTCATCATTGACTTATCGGCACCCCACTCATCGGCCAACCCCAGTCTTAATTCCCTCATACCCTCTGAGGAATTCTCTCTGCAATACACCACCATAGATCATGCCATTACCGCTATCATACAAGCAGGGGTTGGAGCCTGGCTCAGTAAGACCGACATTACTAACGCCTTTAAATTACTACCAATCCACCCCACACTGTGGCACCTGCATGGCATCAAGTGGTCCAGGAACTACTATTTTTCTCCCAGTTAACTTTTGGGTCCAAAAGTAGCCCAGCTATTTTCGACACATTTGCCGAAGGATTATGCTGGTTACTATTGAACATAGCCAGATGCCCTACGGTACTACATTACCTGGATGATTTCCTACTGATCGAGGAGAATACTTCGCCTCCTACTAGTCTCAAAGCTACCACTAAGCTATTTGAGCAACTAGGTGTACCTATCTCCCCAAAGAAAACAGAGGGGCCAGACACGGTTATCACTTTTCTGGGTATCCAACTAGACTCCGCCACAATGCAAGCGAACCTACCACACGATAAGATAGAGAATATTCTTACTTACATCAACATCTACCTTCAGCTCGGTACTTGCAACCGCAAAGAGCTACAGTCCCTGCTGGGGTCACTAAATTTTGCTATGCCCATCATACCTCAATACCTCAAGGCCGCTCCTTTATATCACGACTATTGCATCTTTTCCCACATTTCCTACATGACACGCACAGGTTGTCCTTAGATACCCAAGCTACGGCAGATCTAAACATGTGGAAGAGATTTTTAACCACTTGGAATGGTAAAAGTATGTTCCTCCCTCAATTGACTGACTCATCTCCTACCATTTGGTCAGATGCAGCATCTATCACTGGTTTTGCAGCAATTTTTGGGAGTGAATGGCTTTGGGGAAGCTGACCTTCAGCAATTCAGGATTTGGAAGGTTTTTCCACTACCTCAGTTCTTTTTGAGATCTACCCCATCGTGACGGCTGCCGTATCATGGGGTCATTTATGGGCTAATATGCCAGTGCGTTGTTACTCAGACAACCAGGCAACCTGTCACATCATCAACAAAGGTCGTTCCAAATCCCTTACGATCATGAGATTTCTGAGGAAACTCACTTGGTTGGCAGCTTGTCATAATTTTTTCCTATGTTGTTTCCATGTTCCAGGTGTATGTAACACAGCTGCTGACAATTTGTCTCGCTTTAAATTTCAGGTGTTTCATCAAGCACTCCCGTCAGCTGCGCCCACAGCCACCATCACTCCAACATTTCAACAACTCATACTTGGACTAGAAACCATCATGCAGCAAAGCAGGACACTGTCCCAACTGGCACTTTCATACAATACACACAAAACATACAACAGGGCTTTCACGCTATTCAAAAGATTCCTTCTGGAACATAACATCATGCAACCATTTGTTATGACATCTTTTTTGGGGTTTGCTTCCTCTTTCCACCTTAAACTTAAGATGTCATATAACACCATCAAACTCTATCTCCCTGGCATTCAACACCACATACTAATCTTACACCCAAATAACAACAGTTTCATGGCCTCTCACCAAATTAAGACCATACTCAGAATTTTTTAATGACAAGCTTTCGGGTGAACCTCCCTTTCTCAAGTCTGTCAGAAATGCTTCAGACTTGAGAAAGGGAGGTTCTCCCGAAAGCTTGTCATTAAACAATTCTGTTAGTCGGGGGGCGGGACTTCCGGTCTCACAGAGTAGTTGCATGGAGTGAGAGCTCCGAGACCGGACCGGACTATACCGACGAAATACACCGGCTATTGGACGGAAGAGTGCCCTCCACTGAGTCCCGAACTTGTGGGGACCCTACCCTGCCGAATGGCGCCCCCAAAAGCACAGCGGGCGTCTGATTTTTTACGACAAGGTAGGAGAGACAAAACGCGGCCAGGGCAAGATGGCGGCGGCTCACACTCCCCAACACCTGCCTCAGATCAGGGATCCGACACAGAGGCACTTCAGCCTCCCTCTGGAGATATATCTCTTTCGGAGGCAAAAATGGCGGCAATGCTGCAGGAGCTCCGCTCCTCCATGAAAGAGGACTTACAACTGGTGGTTAATGACATCCGCAGAGAGGTGCACGAGGTGGGGACACGCCTAAACGTCCTTGAGGAGAAAACAGATGATTTATGCCAGGCTAATGACGGCATCTTGGAAAAGATCTGTCTAATGGAGTCGGAGCAAGCGCGCCTAACAGCCAAACTGGCGGACCTAGAGGACCGCTCGCACCGCAATAACAACAGGGTGCGCGTCCCGGAGTCTGTCGCAGGGTCGGATATCCCAGGGTATCTTCAGCAACTTTTCACAGCTATCCAACCTAACCTAGAACTGGCAGACCTGCGCTTAGATAGGGCGCACCGGGTACCCAAGCCCGCTTCGTTAGCACGCGACATACCGAGAGACATTGTCACGAGGCTACACTATTTCAGCGCCAAAGACGCCATACTCATGGCGCAACGAAAATCTACGGCAATGCCATCTGGCTATGAAAAGATCTCCCTATTTGCTGATCTGTCCCCTATGACGATGGCGAGAAGAAGAGACTTTATAAATGTCCCTAAATGCCTCCGGAACCACAAGATCCCCTACCGATGGGGATTCCCCACGAAATTGCTGATCTGGAGAAATGGAACCCTAACAAAGCTGGATGACCCAGACCAGGGTATGCACAAGCTGAAAGCCTGGGGACTCTTCCCGGACCGCGCGCCGCCCAACCACCCAGCATCCCCAGGACAGGTGGTCCAGGAGTGGACCAAAGTCCAAAGGAAGAAGTGAATGATCTGCTCAGCCCTTCCCACTGCAACAGACTGTCCAGGCTAAGCTGCCAGGTCGACTGGTGCCTTGCAAGGTGAAGACGTCTCCGCCTCTGTAGCGGTAGAGACTTTAGCTGGACTCACCCCCTTTTCCTTTACCTCGGGGAAAAGCCTAACCGGTGTTTGCAGTTTGAACCTTCACGTGAGTACATGTGACAGGAGGTGGCCCATAGGACCCCCCCATAGCTGACACACTGCTACCCCATACGCTGCACTCTAAAGTCTTAACTACACGCAGCTCCCACCGGCAACAAGGTTGGCCTTAGCTCCTGGATGTCCCGACCAAATCAATCCCTATATAACCCGAGGCACCCTGATGGCATGCCTAGTGGCACGGCTCATCTTATCACGATTGCCAGCTCTACCCCCGCAAACACCGGTGGCTCCTATACTTGCTGTGGTGGCGCAAGGGGTGCCGCAAAGTGCCCATGATATACCCGACATAAGACCCTTTCCTTCCCTTTATTCATACAGTCCACCACCGGTCATGGACCCTCTCCACAGAGGCCCCCCCCACTGCCGAGACAACCCTCTGTGGTGCTACCTCCCCCCAACACAAGAAGAAAGGTGCACCCGCGGACCAGTCTCCACATAATGCTGTCAAGCTTATTGAATTGTATATACTTTTGTTATGTTCACTGTTTTTTATCCCCATGTTGCACTCTACCTTTGAATATGTACCCCATTAGAGATGTCGTTCACCCTGGACCTCAGAAGCACTGGGAGATCAGGGACGCAACCCCCCTTCACCAAAGATTACCACCTTTGTCAGTGAATCAGTTTGGTAAATGCTGCCTCGGAAGCACCGAGGCCCCCCCCCGGTCTCAGCTGATGTCTTCCCAACATCAATTCAATGTTCTGTCCTTAAATGCCCGAGGCCTGAACACTCTGCAAAAACGCAGGCTTGCCTTCTCCCAGCTCCGCGCCATGCATGCTTCAATAGCCTGCACACAAGAGACACACTTCTCGGCTATAAACCCCCCGAAATTCCTCTCAGCCAGGTACCCCACCTCCTACCATGCCCTAGCGCCTAATAAAACCAGGGGAGTCAGTATCTTAATCCACTCGGAGTGGGCCTTCACGTGCACGACAGAGCATAAAACCGCTGATGGTAGGCTACTGATTCTGGTGGGGAGGCTAAACGATATCCCAGTAACCTTAGCAAACCTTTACGCCCCTAACTCCAACCAATATGACTTTATCAGGAAATCCCTAAAAACGCTGGACAGGATAAAACAGGGCCAAACCTATGTCTGCGGAGACTTTAACTGTGTACTTGACCCAGACCTGGACAGATCAGGCACTCCAGGCTCCCACCCTCGCTCTGTATCTATTGGTGACAGGCTCTCAGCTCTCTTACACTCCCATGGCCTTCACGACACGTGGCGCTCCTTATACCTGGCCACCAGAGACTATACTTTCTACTCGAAAGTTCACGACCAATATTCCCACATAGACATGTGCCTGGTGGATGAGAAGTCCCTGGACACTCTGACTAGGGTCACCATCAACTCAATCACCTGGTCAGACCATGCCCCTTTGCTGTCCTCATTCACCACTTTACATCCGGTGAGAGGACGAGGCACGTGGCGCCTCAATGCATCCCTCATAGACAGCGCTGAACGGGCTGTTGAGATAAGGAAAACCATAGTGAACTACTTTGCGGACAACAAGCCCCAAGACACAACCGTAGCCACGACGTGGCTGGCCCATAAGGCCGTGATACGTGGAGCACTGATTAGGGCTGGAGCGACACTAAAACGCAAACTAGAGGAAAGCTTAGGTACCTGAGACATGCAGAGGACCTCCACAAATCCTCACCCTCTGACGTGACAAGACAGGCTGTTAATAAGATTAGAGCTGACTTAGAAGTTCACCAACTCCAGCGAGTAGAGAGGGCTCTCCGCAAACTCAAAAGCGAGTATTACAGACAGGGGAACAGGGCAGGGAAATTGCTGGCCGCCCAACTGAAAGACAAACACGCTCAAATGCGCATACCATATTTAGTAGCTAATACCGGGACGAAACTGACGAACCCCAAGCTGATAGCGGATGAATTTGCGACATTTTACGGTGCCCTCTATAACCTAGCGGAGGACCCTCTACAACACCAGCCGACCCCAATGGAGATAGCCGCCTACTTAGACAAAGTGGAACTCCCCCAGCTCTCCAGCGCCCAAGCCTCACTACTCACCAGCGCAATCACTCCAGAGGAAATCTCAAAAGCACTTAGAGAAACCCCCCGACATAAAGCCCCAGGGCCTGACGGCTTCCCCGCTCACTACTACAAAACCTTTGAGGACCAACTCCTTCCCCACATGACCTCCCTGTTCAACAACATCATGGAGTCAGGTTCCATACCCCCTGAAATGCTAGAGGCCACCATAATTACTATTCCCAAGCCGGGCAAGCCCACTGAATTTTGCGCAAACTACCGCCCTATCTCCCTGCTTAACGCGGACACAAAGCTCTTTGCCAAAATCCTAGCCAATAGAATACGCCCCCTCCTGGGTACACTTGTTTCCCCGGAACAATCGGGTTTTGTCCCGGAACACCAGGTAGAGGACAACACAAGACGTGCACTAGACATAATGGAACTCCTGACGGTACAGAGAACACAGGGACTACTAATAGCCCTTGACGCGGAGAAAGCCTTCGACCGGCTACACTGGGGCTACATGACGGAAGTCCTCCGCAGGTTTGGATTCCCCGAAAAATTTCTCAATGGCCTCCTATCATTATATTCCTCCCCGACAGCAGTGGTTGTGAGCTCCGGTTTTACCACTCGACGCTTTGCCCTGACGAATGGCACAAGACAGGGATGCCCACTATCGCCCCTTATCTTTATCCTGTCACTAGAACCGCTAATGCACACAATTAAACAGGAACAGCGCGTCACTGGTATCCCCTCGCTAATAGGTCCCCAAAAAATAGCCGCCTTTGCTGACGACATCCTAATATTTCTGACTAACCCGACAGAATCACTGAAGCATCTCCTATTCCTTGACTATGGCTAAGTGTCTTATTACAAGAACAACGAGGCAAAAACTCAGGTACTACCCTTTAACGTGACCCACTCTAACCTTGCCGCCCTGCGAGCTCAATACCCCTTTGACTGGCGGAAAGACAATCTCTCCTACTTAGGCACAAAGTTGGCACCCTCGAGACGCAACTTACTCCGACACAACCATGACGCCTTGCTAAATAAAACAGAGGCGCTGCTGGAGAGCTGGGGGGCAAAAAACACATCATGGCTGGGACGCATAAACTCCATAAAAATGATCATACTCCCTCAAATATTATTCCTCTTTAGGGCCCTCCCCATCGAGATACCAAAGGTGCTACTACAACGGTTCCAGCGTCTGTTAAACGTACACATATGGAAGAAGAAACCACCTAGGGTTTCCATGGCAAGCACAACCCTGGCCATGGGGAATGGGGGACTGGGTGTACCCAATATTTCCAAATACTACATAGCCACGAACCTATCCCAAACAGCAAGATTGCTGATAACCCCAAACCGCCCCCTGTGGTACCAATTAGAAACGGCAAGCGCTACGCCCCATGCACTATTAGACTTACTTTGGGTCCCGACCAAATTGCATCCACGCGACACAAACATGTTAGTGACCACAAAACACTCTCTTCGCATATGGCACAGGTGGGCCCCGAAACTGCTAGCCCCCATGACTAGCCTGAAGTACCTCACACAAGATCTGGTTCTAGATGGGTGGTTAGCACAGGGGATAGAGAGGGTATCCCAAATAATGGAGGGCAATGAGATCAGACAATTCCCAATACTTCAGCGGACCTTCCTCCTCCCGGGTAGGGAGCTCTTCACCTACCTTCGTATTAAGCACATAATGCAGGGGATCAAACAAGCAGCACCCGACACCAGAGAGCCGGGCTCGTTCGACACACTGTGCCTTAGACGAAAGACCCAAGCAAAACCACTCTCTCTATGTTATCAAAATCTCTTAGGGATGGGCAAGACTGATAAGTTAAGCTACATGGTGCACTGGGAATCTGAACTCAATAGCACAATAGAGAGTAGTAAATGGTCCGCAGCGATGGCACTTGTGAAACGAGCCACACACTGCCTAGATCATGTTGAGGCGGCCTATAAACTCTGGATGAGGTGGTATCTCACCCCACGGAGGCTGGCACTTATATACCCAGGGGCACAACAGGTTTGCTGGCGCTGCTGCGCACAGACGGGTACTTTGAGCCATATCTTCTGGCACTGTCCAGTATTACACACTTTCTGGAGGCAGGTACAAATGTTACACCAAAGCAGTATACAGAAAAGGATACCATTCACTCCGGAGGCCTACCTACTACACATGCTTCCCAAATCACTGACCCATCCGCAGGCGGTGCTGACCACCCATGTTACCTTAGCAGCCAAACACTGTATAGCTTCCCTCTGGAAATCAACCTCAGCTCCGGAAATAACAGTAGTAGTTAACAGGATAAACCTCACGCAGCACCTTGAGAAAATAGCGCATACGATCCAGGGCACCCTAGCACGATACAACCTGATCTGGTCTAACTGGTCTGGACAATGAGACAAAAGCCCGTGTCGATCTAGGATAGCGGAGTAAAAATAGAAATAAGGGACCAACCCACCCCAGATGTACGAGAAAAAGGATATACAGGGAAGCCCGCTAAATTAAATTCCCATATAAGTAGAGGTAGCTGGAGAAGAGTGGCTAAACGGGCCATCACAAAACCCAACAAGGTGTAGAGTCATCTCAACCTCCCCCCCCCCCACCCTTACCTTTACCCGGCAGCTACCCACGCAGGCAATGTTGTAGATATAAATCTGGCGGGCGACCTAGCTATTGGCGCCGTACACCGGCCACTGTAGTACCCCCCTCTCATACTGAGTCGGAGGCCTGCATGACTAGAGGAGAGTCACGCTGCGACCCTCACTGAGAGCAACGACCGTGTTTGGAGGCTGACTGCACACGCTCACTGTTTCTGGTCGTGAATCTGGTGTAACACCTATGTAACGTTGCTGCTCCATATTGTTATTCATGTTAAAATCTTGTCCTATAAGCCACAGCAACACTGTTACCACTGTCCGCTGAATCTCTGTTGCGACCTCGATGCACTCATTGTGTCTGCGGCCTCTGAGGTCACGGACACAACATTTTTATGTAACTTACAAGCCTCAAACAGTATTGGCTTAATAGCTATTCTCTCTTTGCTCATTCTAACTCACAAATTGCTCGAACAACAATGTAACCATACAATATGTCTTACGCAGCATGTATGAAAGAACCAATAGTATTTGTACTCGACAATGTGGTCTGCTTATGTGTAACTATTTACCCTTACCCCATTTTTATTTCTGTACCCCTCTGTTTACATTTTCATGATAAAAAACAATAAATATGATACATTGGAAAAAAATTCTGTTAGTCCAATAAAAAAGGTATTACAAGATAAGAATTTTATCTGTGTTTTTTATATCAAAATACACTTAGAATGAAATTGTATATATATCTATGTATATATAAATAAATAATAAGAAATATACATATGTCCATATACAAAATTACATAAATATACACATAGACTTAAAATATATAAATATGCATATATATTTAAATTCTATGTGCGTGTTTATGTAATATTTTTACATAATTAAGTAATTTTATTGATTGCAATTTGAGGGACCTGCCTGACAACCCACGCCGAAAGTCCAGAGAATTTAATTTGCTAGCACTGTATTTTACCCTGTAACTTTCTATGACACCCTAAAACCTGTACATAGGGGGTACTGTTTTACTCGGGAGACTTCGCTGAACACAAATATTAGTGATTCAAAACAGTAAAACATATCATAACGATGATATTAACAGTGAAAGTGACTTTTTTTGCACTTTTCACACACAAACAGCACTTTTACTGATGATATAATTGTTGTGATACCAAAACCTTTTCTTTGCCTTAGACAAAATCTTCTTTCTTCTAATCTAAAAGCATGACCTTGTGTCCAATGGAAAGTTTGGTTTGTGAATAGATTTCCACACAATAGTTTGTATTGGCCCCGGATATATTTGTATAATGTTATCATATCCCTTCTGAGGCAACGTTATTCTAAACTAAATAGGTTTAAATTTGGTAACCTTTCTTCATAGCTGATATGTTCCATTCCTTTTTTTAATTTTGTAGCCTGCCTCTGCACTTTTTCTAGTGCCATAATATCCTTCTTTAGAACAGGTGCCCAAAATTGCACAGCATTTTCAAGATATGGTCTAACTAGTGATTTATAAAGAGGCAAAATGATATTCTCATCCCGAGAATGAATGCCCTTTTTCATGCATGACAACACCTTACTGGCCACTGCTGATTGACGTTGCACATTGTTGCATAGTTTGTTGTCTATAACAATTCCCAAGTCATTTCCGTGTGTTGTTATCTCTAATTCAATTTAGGGAATACGTTGCTTATGCATTCTTTACGCCGAAGTGCATAACTTTGCATTTTTCAAGATTAATTTTAATCTGCCATTTGAGTGCCCAGTCCCCCAGTCTATCTAAATCCCTCTGCAGCAAAGTAATATCTTTATTCACATTGTATTACTTTACAGAGTTTTGTGTCATCTGCAAACACTGAAACATGACTTTTAATGCTTTTTTCAAGATAATTTATAAACATGTTAAATAGAAGGGACACCACTTGCCACCTCTGTCCAGTTTGAAAATTTACCATTAATGACAACTCTTTGTACTCTGTTTTTAAGCCAATGTTCTACCCAAGAACAAGCATTTTCATCTAGACCGATTTATTTGAGTTTGAACACTAATCTGTTGTGTGGATCTGTATCAAATGCCTTGGCAAAATCCAAATAGATTACATCCACTGCAACACCCTGAGCTATACTTCTACTTACTTCTTCGTAGAATGCAATCAAATTAGTTTGAAATGGCCTGTGCTTTGCAAAACCATGCTGATTTTTGCTAATAACCATTTTCTTCTCAAGGAATTCTTGAATATTATCCCTTAATAATCTTTCAAATACTTTTCCAGCCACAGAAATTAAGCTCACAGGTCTATAATTTCCAGGCAAGGATTTTGATCCCTTTTTAAATATAGAAACCACATCTGCCTCCTTCCTCCAATCCCCCGGAACACTTCCTGAAAGAAAAGAATCTTGAAAGATTAAAAACAGAGGTTTACTTATTTCTACACTTAGTTCCTTAAGTACTCATGGATAAATACTGTCAGGCCCTGGAGCTCTGTTTATATTAACTTTCTTTAGTTGCTGCAGCACTTTGTCTTGAGTTAACCAATTACAATTTTTCTGCAGGTTTTTAGCAGCAATCATTTCCACATCTATTGCTATGGGTAATCCTTAATATATAAATACGGAGGATAAATAGTTATAAAATAAATAAATATTAATAAATTAATATAAATATTTTAAAAATATATATATATAACATTTGGGCAGACTAGATGGGCCGAATGGTTCTTATCTGCCGTCACATTCTATGTTTCTATGCCTTTTCCTGGTCTTCATTAACGAACACCCCCATCCTAGTTTTCAGTGTACCTACACTTCCATTTCTTGTTTGTTTTAGAATTTATGTACTTAAAGGACCACTATAGTGCCAGGAAAACATACTCGTTTTCCTGGCACTATAGTGCCCTGAGGGTGCCCCCACCCTCAGGGACCCCCTCCCGCCCGGCTCTGGAAAGGGGTAAAACTTACCTTTTTCCACCGCTGGGCGGAGAGCTCTCCTCCTCCGATCCTCCTCTTCTCCTCCCGTCGGCTGTATGCGCACGCGCGGCAAGAGCTGTGCACGCATTCAGCCGGTCACATAGGAAAGCATTCATAATGCTTTCCTATGGACGCTGGCGTGCTCTCACTGTGAAAATCACAGTGAGAAGCACGCAAGCGCCTCTAGTGGCTGTCAATGAGACAGCCACTAGAGGAAATAGGGGAAGGCTTAACCCATTGATAAACATAGCAGTTTCTGTGAAACTGCTATGTTTATTAAAAAATGGGTTACGCCTAGCTGGACCTGGCACCCAGACCACTTCATTAAGCTGAAGTGGTCTGGGTGCCTAGAGTGGTCCTTTAAAAATGCTTTGGGGTTGGTTTTGCTCTCTTTGCCCATCATTTTTTAATTTTGAAGTTTAGCTAATCTAATTGCCGTTTTGAACACATCATTGGCTTCCTTATATCTTTTATAGGATGCATCAGATTTGTTAGCTTTAAATGCCCTTTTCTTATTTTTAATCTCTTGTTTTACTTATTTCCTAAGCCACATTGGTTTCAATTTGTTTTTTATATTTTTTACCCAATGTTACATACTGAGAAATGTACCTTTCTGAAATTTGCTGGAAGATTTTCTATTTATCCTTAGTGTTCTTTTCACTAAAGAGTTTATGCCAGTCAATATATTGCGAAGCTGCCCTTAACTTATAGAAAATACCTTTTTAAAGTATGTTTTAGTATATAGAGTTTATTTCAAAGGACACTATATTATGAGCACTATTTCCCAAGCGCTCACCTACTTGAATGTTGGTCAAAAGATCAACGTTGTTTGTTAGAACCAGGTCCAGACAAGCGTCCTTTCTAGTTGGTGCTTGTACAAGTTGTGACATGACGTTGTCATATAACAAGTTCAAAAACCTAATTCCCTTTGCTGAACTACTAGTCCTTCTGTCCCAATTTATGTCTGGGTAATTAAAATCTCCAACAATTAACATGTTACCCAGATTTTCAGCTTTCTCAATTTGCTCAAACAGCTGTTGTTCCTCATCAATATTAACATTAGGTGGTTTATAACATATCCCAACCAATAGTTTATTCCCCTTCTTTTGCCCAAGCAGATATTTACCCATAAAGCTTTCACATCTTCCTCATCACATTCCCCTTGCTTAAAGGACAACTATAGTGCCAGGAAAACATACTAGTTTTCCTGGCACTATAGTGCCCTGAGGGTGCCCCCACCCTCAGGGTCCCCCTCCCGCCCGGCTCTGGAAGGGGGAAAGGGGTTAAAACGTACCCTTTTCCAGCGCTGGGCGGGGAGCTCTCCTCCTCCTCTTCTCCTCCCCGTCGGCTGAATGCGCACACGCGGCAAGAGCTGCGCGCGCATTCAGCCAGTCACATAGGAAAGCTTTCATAATGCTTTCCTATGGGCGCTTGCGTGCTCTCACTGTGATTTTCACAGTGATAAGCACTCAAGCGCCTCTAGTGGCTGTCAATGAGACAGCCACTAGAGGAAATAGGGGAAGGCTTAACCCATTCACAAACATAGCAGTTTCTCTGAAACTGCTATGTTTATGAAAAAATGGGTTAACCCTAGCTGGACCTGGCACCCAGACCACTTCATTAAGCTGAAGTGGTCTGGGTGCCTAGAGTGGTCCTTTAAGATTTGGCTTTAACTCATGGTTGACATACAAACATACCCCACCACCTTTCCTGTTTTTTCTGTCCTTCCTAAATAGTGTGTACCCATTTAAGTTAACTGCCCAGTTATGTGTCTCATCCCACCATGTTTCAGTTATGCCTATAATGTCCTATTGTTTAGTGTATGCTATTGCCTCAATTTCCCCCATTTTGTTATTTATGCATCTTGCATTAGTAAGCATACATGTAATACTATCATGAGTCACTTGTACGTTTTGTGAATTTTTATCAATATTACATACCTCCTCTGTTCTGAGCTTTCCCCTTCCCTCTTTCCCCATCACCCCCTCCCCCTTTATACTGAGCTAAAGCCCATCTCTTTTCTGTCCTATCTCCATTTTGTAGTTTGCTATGACCCTAGATTGCTATTACTAGCTTAAAATCTCCTCCAGCCTTCTAGCCTTCCTATCCCCCAGCACTGCAGACCCTCTCCCGTTTAGGTGCAACCCATCACTGCTATAAAGGTTGTACCCATGCGCAAAGTCGACCCAGTGCTCTAAAAACCTGAAACCCTCCTTCCTGCACCAAGACTTCAGCCACGCATTGTCCTCTTTTATCTCCAGCTGCCTTTCCACTGTACTGCGTGGCACAGGTAATATCTCAGAGAATACCACCTTGGAGGTCCTTTTCTTAAGTTTGCTACCTAATTCCCTGAAATCTTCCTCTTACTTTGTCATTGGTACCAACATGGACCATGACCGCTGGGTCATCCCCAGCCCCTCCCAATAATCCATCCACTCTGTCTGCAACATGTTAGACCCGAGCACCTGGGAGACAGCAAACTGTCTGGTTGAGCCAATCAGAGCAGCAGATTGCCCTATCTACCCTCCTAATGATAGAGTCCCCTACCCCCACAACCGGTCTAGCCTTCCTTATATTTTCATTCCCAAGCGTATTAGAGGGGCAGTTCCCTCGGCTGTTAGAAGGAACAGCTTCCTCTAATTCAGCTACTCCTGAGCTGATGCTCCCAACATCTTCACCCAAACTGGCAAATCGGCTAGGTTGCACAAAATCAGGACTAGCTAGCCCTTTCCTCTTCCCTCTCACCCCCCGCTTCCTCGCCCCACTGTCACCCAGCTACGTACCTACTCCCCATCTGTCTTATCCCCTTCACTCCACTACCTGTCCCCACTAAACTCTGCTCAGTGAGCAACAGACTCCTCTCAAGATTGTCGACCTCCCTCAATGTTGCAATTTGCTTCTCAAGATCTCCAATCTGAGCTTCCAGAGAAGCCACTCGCACACGCTTGTCACAGATATAATCAGACACCTCTAATGTACCATAGTCTAATATTAATTTTGCAGGACTTAGCACATTAGAGAGAAGAGTAGTCAAATGATTTAGTTGTTAGTGCCAGGAGTTCCTGTCAAACTGTTTACAAATAGTGAGACCCTTACTGTGCTGTGTTGGGTCCCTATAATCCTTCTGGTTTGAGTTTGCCTTATAAAGCAGAAGATCATTTATCTTCATTATCATACCAAATCCTACCAGGTTTAATCAGTATTTATTGGCAGAGCACAATTAGCTGTCAATCTCAATCACTGACTGCAGATTTAACCTAAAATGAGTTGGTATGATGACTTGAAGGATTGAACTTTATCAGGCCAATGTGGACTGTGGGCACTAGATACAGTAAGGCAAACTGTTTGACTAGTTACTGACAGGAAGGACTCTGGCATCATAGCCACAAAACGTGTTGTAGTGGTTGTAGTGCCTAGAGTGTCCCTTTAAAACTGGGCTTAATTATACAGTGCTACCAGTTAGAATCTTGTATTTATGTCCATATTAGACATTTCAATATTGCCTCAGTATTATTGGTGGCACAGTAAAACCTATAAACCATGTGATATATGGTGACATTCATTTTCTAATGCTTGTCTGGTAGACATTTGGGAGTATGTATTTCTGTATGTTTGTGGGATTTTTATCTGTTTTTATTTAAATTGTGTGCCATAGTGTATTGTGGAGGTATGTTCCTTGATTCCCTCAAAAAGAGGACATAACTTATTGTATTCAGTTTTTTTAGCTCTAATGTTATATTTTTTTTTATATATTTTTTGCAGATTCATCACTGGAGTGATCATTCCCAAGGCCCAGATGGCATATGACTGTACTAGAACCAGAAAATAAATCCCTTCTTAAGAGTTTTCACAGCACAGTCAAATATGTTACGCCACTGGGAATATGTTAAGTGGTTTGTAAACGTCACTGGATTCCCATATGGAATAAAATGGGTCATTTTATATTAAAATGACATTTTTGTTTGTGTTATTTTTATTCCATACATTCAAGACTGATCATATCATATATCCTGGATTTCACTCAAACTTTTTTGGTCGGCAACAAAAATGTCAACATACTTTAGTATAAAAAATGGGAAATTGTGCAAGAAGTATGCATTGCATATCCCATTTATTGTTTTGTATCATTCTCTCCCTAAGATGATAATGTTTGGAGGGAGGAATATATATATTTTTTTTTACTTTTTTTTTGTAGGTGTTTTAAATTTGTGTGTGCACAAAAAAAGTTTAGACAGTTAAACAGCAGAGCCTTTTGTCCTTGTACTACCTGTGTACGAGAACTGCAAGCATTTCACACATACAGGTATATGGTTTGAGCTTCTCCGTTAAAAGCACAAAGTTGTGGATAAACTATCGTCTATACTATACAACTATATTATATTCAGTATATAAACAAAATACACAACCCAGCGCACTCGCTCATTCACAAAGAGCGATTTCAAGACTCACAGATTGTAATAGTTTTATTTAAAAACACCTCACCTAGGCAAAAATAATGGGGGTTTAGTTACAGTATATGATCGTACATTGCATAAGCCTGCCACAACTTCAATGTACCCTATTCTTGGCAGGCCCTATCCTAGCAGCCTAATGCCTGCTCTTATGAATCCACTTATTTGGGAAATTCTTCCTTACTGGGACTATCTGCAGGTCAAGGCTAAATAGGACCCTTGAATGAGGCACCCGTGACAGGGAGGGATGCAAAACCAAGGAGTTGGCTTAGACTATCAAATATATAAATAAATGAAACCAAAGATGGCTAGGGCTGCACTTGCCTAAACATGCATATATTTACAGGGTGCACCCTATGTTCAGGTGAGTGCAGCCCTAGCCATCTTTGGTTTCATTTATTTTTTATATATATAATTTATTTTTATTTTTTTACCCAAGGGGTAAATGTGAACTCAAATGGACTTTTTAAAACCACACTGTACTTAGGCACCTTAGGTTTTCTTTCATAATTATGTGGAAAAATAAAATTGTAGTATTTTGCTTAAAGCCCAAGTAGTTCTGAAATTACAATCATGTTTCCTATGCCAAAATTGATTAATCCACTTATTTTTGCCTTCTGTACATCCCTACCATAGTTGGTTTATTTCATTTTGAACAACAGATTGTAATGGTGTAGACCTTTATTGGCATTAAAGAATTAAAATGTAACTGGTAAGGAAAATAACTTTAGGAATCATAACATATGTCCTTCACATTTATTTATTTTGTTACAAGAGCAGACTTGGTTATGTTCTGACTTTCACTGTGGCACGCAGATAACAAAGCGTCTTAATGACTCTTTGCATAACATCCCAAAAATATAGAATGTGTTAGTTGTTTAATTGTAGGACAAAAGCAATGGTTACGGATACACTCCAAGCACCTCTGCTAAATTAATTAATTTATCATATGTTATAGGGTTGTAGTTGACTATTATTTTCATAATCACTTTTTTGTAATTAATTAGATAACATTTATTTTTGCTTTTTATGTGGGTGTCAGCCTATCCGATGCCAGGGTCAGGGTTTAACCAATATAGACTGTTACAATGCTTGCTGAGTTGACAAACATATCTCCCAGTGGTCCTGAGCAGGTAGGTATGTCTTGATTTTGGAAATGTGTCCGTGGAAATTTTTCTCAGTGCTGATTCTGTGAACACTAGAAAGGGCTGGGTAAACTGCAAATGGGTGTTTCAGCCCACAGAAGACCTCCTGTGCAGCAATCTAGTTGGCTGACCACATTGTATGTCTGCCAAGTGTGGGGCAGGCTGCCACTTCTGTTAATGGTTATACTCCTGCATATTACTGGCACATCTGCACCATGGCTTCTCCTGTCTATAACAGTAGAGCTGAGAAAAAGTTACCACAGTGGCCCTGCCAATGTCTTTGGTAGAAACTGAATATTAAAACTACACAATATATTTTCTTAGGGCTTTTTCAAAATGCAGTTGTAATAATTTTTTTTCTGAAACAGAAGTAACGCTGTGAATAAATGGGCTCCTTGCTTTGCTCAGACCAGCTGACGTTTTAGAGATACAACTAGGAGAGCTTCCTGAACCACAACACAGTCAGACTCTGTCCTATGACGTTCAACATCCTCAGAAGTATTTGATTAGCGGAACACTGTGATTGCCACCCATGCACCTTTTGTCCACAATGCTTCTCTATGAGAAGCGTTAATTGGACAAAATGTCATCAAGCTAGGTGACATCAGATAGGCAGACCAGACTGTGCAGGAGAGGCTATCTTAATGCTGCATCCCCTGTAAGTTAGGTGTTCTTTTAATTGTGTGTTTTTAGTTTTTATTAAAAATGGGGGGAAGGGTGGCCTGCTACAAAAAAATTAAAATAGGGAATTATAGTGTACCTTTTATATATAAACCAATGCTCTTTTTGACACTGCTTATATTCAAACTCGAATAGTATTTATTATGTAAGAGAGCTGGGCTAACCTGCCCATAGCCCTCTCCACCAATTATCGTCATTCAGGTTGGATGAAATTAATGTTAATGAGAAATTAATAAATCTCCACTATCAATCCTGCACTGACCCTTTTTTTTTTTTCCAATCAGTTACTATTTGATATAAAGCTGTGGGTTGATATCACGCTACTGTAGGCAAAAAAAAACAAAAACACTTCAGCTGTAGTGGTTTTGTTGATTGGAGTGCCCCTTTAATACATGATATGGGAAATATTCTTGGGTAGATAACTATCAGCTTTCTTGCTGCTGTGAACTTTATATGTATTCATGAGTACCAGCCCAATGCTATCCCTTGAACTACTGCATGATTGTAGTTGAAGGAAGCCTTTCATTGCTGGACTGTGTATTGCCTGTAACTGTGCTGTGGTTTTATACTGTGAAATACATCTTATTGTTTTTACACTGTCAAAGGTGTTATTCTCCCGTTACTGGTATCTCCTCCAAGTGAGCTCAGTTAAGGTGTACTGAATATGCAATATGTTGCAATATGTTCTCATAACTGACTCTTGTTCACCTGAATAATAACCTGGGTGTGAAATGTTGTTGTATCATTTGTTGCTCATCCTAGTTCACTTACAGAGGAGTGGCCAGCAGCAGCAAGACGTATGAGGACAATGCACCTTAAATACTTAGATGTCTGGTCATGCTAAAAAAATACTTTTAATTTATGGACCTGTTGGCAGTTTTCTTAACCCTATGTTTAGCAGAGACTCTTTAGCACTCTGGCTGTTAGAGGGCCACTTTCATGCCATACTTACCTGGGCACACTTAAAGAAATCCAAGATTCAGCGGGTTGGTAAATGGGGACCAATATTGCTTGACAGTGCAAACTCTTTATTCGGTCACCTGTTTGTATAGTTTTAGCTGTAGCGATTCCCATAAAATGTAGACGATCGGTACATATAGGCTTTAAACAGCCTGGTATTAGTGAACACATGGAGGTGTAAAACATCTGTAAACTGCACAAGAAGTACTAATACTGTTTCATTATGATGTGTTTTTATTATGATGTTTAGACTGGGAAAATAAATAAAAACCTGATTTGTATTAATACTTTTCAGCCTGGAGCTGTTTTTCTGTTTTTGACTGAAATAAAACATTTTGATCATATTTTGTTTTTGGTGTGTTCTTTAGGGGAGGAATTCATTGCCACACAAATTTCACTGCTTGGAGAAACAGAGAGAAGTTGGTGCACACAATGGATATTTTTTCTCCTTAATAATCTGAAATAAATATAACAGAACCTTCATTGGGCAACAAATAAAAGAAAATTTTCAGATATATGTATAACAAGAAAAACTCACAATTTGGAGAGCTATATAAGTCGGCTCTCTACTAAAAAGGCAGGTGAGTAATCCCAAAAGGACAAGTAGCCCAGTGATAATGGTCCCCCAGGGAAAGAGTTGCTTTAAATCCACCTGGACAGAATTTCAGGAACCCAAAGTAGCTCAAAAAGGCTGTCTTTATTACATATAAAATAAATAAAGGTATAGAAAACAGTAGCACAACGCGTTTCAACCAATATACTGGTCTTCCTCAGGTGCATAAAACACAAGTACATATAACAGTAGTGATGTACCGAACGGTTCGCCGGCGAACATAGCATGTTCGCGTTCGCCACGGCGGGCGAACATATGCGCGGTTCGACCCGCCCCCTATTCGTCATCATTGAGTAAACTTTGACCCTGTACCTCACAGTCAGCAGACACATTCCAGCCAATTAGCAGCACACCCTCCCTAGCAGACCCTCCCACCTCCTGGAAGGTATCCATTTTAGATTCATTCTCAAGCTGCATGCTTAGTAAGAGGAGGGAAAGTGTAGCTGCTGTTCATAAGATAGGGAAAAGCATAGCTAGGTTAGGGATAAGGGTATGCTTTTTTTGGATTTTTTTTTTCTATCTAATGTAAATGCACTTAGTTGTCTGCCACTGCTGCCAGCTTCTGTGTCAGGCTCACAGTGCCCATTTCCCCAGTCAGTGCCACCAATTACATCTGGTGTCACAATAGCTTGGATTTAAAAACAAAAAACTTTTTTCACTGTTATAGATTGAATAGCAGTCAGTTATCTGCCACTGCTGCCAGCTTCTGTGTCAGGCTCACAGTGCATACTGTGCCCATTTCCCCAGTCAGTGCCACCAATTACATCTGGTGTCACAATAGCTTGGATTTAAAAACAAAAAACTTTTTTCACTGTTATAGATTGAATAGCAGTCAGTTGTCTGCCACTGCTGCCAGCTTCTGTGTCAGGCTCACAGTGCATACTGTGCCCATTTCCCCAGTCAGTGCCACCAATTACGTCTGGTGTCACAATAGCTTGGATTTAAAAACAAAAAACTTTTTTCACTGTTATAGATTGAATAGCAGTCAGTTGTCTGCCACCGCTGCCAGCTTCTGTGTCAGGCTCACAGTACATACTGTGCCCATTTCCCCAGTCAGTGCCACCACTTAGATCTGGTGACACAAAGCTTGGATTTAAAAACAAAAAACTTTTTTCACTGTTATAGATTGAATAGCAGTCAGTGTCCTTAAAGCGGGTGTGTTACGCTAACAGTGGATACGCTGACCAGTGCCACTAATTAGATCTGGTGTCACAATGGCTTGGATTTAAAAAAAAATAATCTTTTTTCACTGTTATAGATTGAATAGCAGTCAGTGTCCTTAAAGCGGGTGTGTTACGCTAACAGTGGATGCGGTGACCAGTGCCACCACTTAGATCTGGTGACACAAAGCTTGGATTTAAAAACAAAAAACACTTTTTTCACTGTTATAGATTGAATAGCAGTCAGTGTCCTTAAGCGGGTGTGTTACGCTAACAGTGGATACGGTGACCATTGCCACCACTTAGATCTGGTGACACAAAGCTTGTATTTAAAAAAACCAACCACTTTTTTCACTGTTATATATTGAATAGCAGTCAGTGTCTTAAAGCGGGTGTGTTACGCTAACAGTGGATACGGTGACCAGTGCCACCAATTAGATCTGGTGACACAAAGCTTGGATTTAAAAACAAAAAACACTTTTTTCACTGTTATAGATTGAATAGCAGTCAGTGTCCTCAAAGCGGGTGTGTTACGCTAACAGTGGATACGGTGACCAGTGCCACCAATTAGATCTGGTGACACAAAGCTTGGATTTATAAAAACAAAACACTTTTTTCACTGTTATAGATTGAATAGCAGTCAGTGTCCTTAAAGCGGGTGTGTTACGCTAACAGTGGATACGGTGACCAGTGCCACCACTTATATCTAGTGACACAAAGCTTGGATTTAAAAACAAAACACTTTTTTCACTGTTATAGATTGAATAGCAGTCAGTGTCCTTAAAGCGGGTGTGTTACGCTAACGGTGGATACGCTGACAAGTGCCACTAATTAGATCCTGTGTCACAATAGCTTGGATTTAAAAACAAAAAACTTTTTTCACTGTTATAGATTGAATAGCAGTCAGTGTCCTTAAAGCGGGTGTGTTACGCTAACAGTGGATACGCTGACCAGTGCCACTAATTAGATCTGGTGACACGAAGCTTGGATTTAAAAAAACAAAACACTTTTTTCACTGTTATAGATTGAATAGCAGTCAGTGTCCTTAAAGCGGGTGTGTTACGCTAACAGTGGATACGCTGACCAAGTGCTACTATTTAGATCTGGTGTCACAATAGTTTGGATTTAAAAAAAAAATAATCTTTTTTCACTGTTATAGATTGAATAGCAGTCAGTGTCCTTAAAGCGGGTGTGTTACGCTAACAGTGGATACGCTGACCAGTGCCACCAATTAGATCTGGTGACACGAAGCTTGGATTTAAAAAAACAAAACACTTTTTTCACTGTTATAGATTGAATAGCAGTCAGTGTCCTTAAAGCGGGTGTGTTACGCTAACAGGGGATACGCTGACCGGTGCCACTAATTAGATCTGGTGTCACAATAGTTTGGATTTAAAAAAAAAATAATCTTTTTTCACTGTTATAGATTGAATAGCAGTCAGTGTCCTTAAAGCGGGTGTGTTACGCTAACAGTGGATACGATGACCAGTGCCACTAATTAGATCTGGTGTCACAATAGCTTGGATTTTAAAAAAAAATAATCTTTTTTCACTGTTATAGATTGAATAGCAGTCAGTGTCCTTAAAGCGGGTGTGTTACGCTAACAGGGGATACGCTGACCGGTGCCACTAATTAGATCTGGTGTCACAATAGTTTGGATTTAAAAAAAAAATAATCTTTTTTCACTGTTATAGATTGAATAGCAGTCAGTGTCCTTAAAGCGGGTGTGTTACGCTAACAGTGGATACGATGACCAGTGCCACTAATTAGATCTGGTGTCACAAGCTTAGTTTAAAAACAAAACACTTTTCACTGTTATAGATTGAATAGCAGTCCCAAAGTGTCCTTAAAGAGGGTGTGTTCACGCTAACAGTGGATCGCTGACCAATTGCCACTAATTAGATCTGGTGTCACAATGGTTTGGATTTTAAAAAAATTATCTTTTTTCTGTTATAGATTAATAGCAGTCAGTGTCCTTAAGCGAATTGTGTTACGCTAATAGTGGATCGCTGACCAATTCTTACTAATTAGATACTGGTGTCACAATAGCGGATTTAAAAAATATGCTTTCTGTTACGTTGAATAGCAGTCAGTGTCCTTAAAGCGGGTGTGTTACGCTAACAGTGGATACGCTGACAAGTGCCACTAATTAGATCCTGTGTCACAATAGTTTGGATTTAGAAAAAATAATAATCTTTTTTCACTGTTATAGATTGAATAGCAGTCAGTGTCCTTAAAGCGGGTGTGTTACGCTAACAGTGGATACGCTGACAAGTGCCACTAATTAGTCCCTGTGTCACAATAGTTTGGATTTAAAAAAAATAATAATCTTTTTTCACTGTTATAGATTGAATAGCAGTCAGTGTCCTTAAAGCGGGTGTGTTACGCTAACAGTGGATACGGTGACCGGTGCCACTAATTGGATCTGGTGTCACCAATGGTTTTGGATTTAAAATAATCTTTTTTCACTGTTATAGATTGAATAGCAGTCAGTGTCCTTAAAGCGGGTGTGTTACGCTAACAGTGGATACGCTGACAAGTGCCAATAATTAGATCCTGTGTCACAATAGTTTTGATTTAAAAAAAATAATAATCTTTTTTCACTGTTATAGATTGAATAGCAGTCAGTGTCCTTAAAGCGGGTGTGTTACGCTAACAGTGGATACGCTGACAAGTGCCACTAATTAGATCCTGTGTCACAATAGCTTGGATTTAAAAACAAAAAACTTTTTTTACTGTTATGAATTGAATAGCAGTCAGTGTCCTTAAAGCGGGTGTGTTACGCTAACGAGGTGGATGCGTGACAAGTGCCACTAATTAGATCCTGTGTCACGTAGTTTGGATTTAAAAAATAATAATCTTTTTCACTGTTATAGATTGAATAGCAGTCAGTGTCCTTAAAGCGAGGCGTGTTCGCTAACAGTGGATACGCTGACAAAGTGCCACTAATTAGATCCTGTGTCACAATAGTTTGGATTTAAAACAAAAACTTTTTTACTGTTATAGATTAGACTAACAGTCAGTGTCCTTAAAGCGGGTGTATTCACGGCTAACGGTGGATAAGCTGACAAGTGCCACTAATTAGATCTATGGGTATCCACAATAGTTTGGATTTAAAAAAAATAATAATATTTTTCATATTTATAGATTGAATAGCAGTCAGTGTCCTTAAAGCCTTGGGTGTGTTCGCTAACGGTGGATACCTTTGACAAGTGCCACTAATTAGATCCTGTGTCACAATAGTTTGGATTTAAAAATAATAATCTTTTTTCACTGTTATAAGATTGAATAGCAGTCAGTGTCCTTAAAAGCGGGTGTGTTCGCTAACGGTGGATGCAGCTGACAAGTGCCACTAATTAGATCCTGTGTCTGGCGTTTGGATTTAAAAAAAAAATAATCTTTTTTCACTGTTATAGATTGAATAGCAGTCAGTGTCCTTAAAGCGGGTGTGTTACGCTAACAGTGGATACGCTGACAAGTACCACTAATTAGATCCGGTGTCACAATAGCTTGGATTTAAAAACAAAAAACTTTTTTTACTGTTATAGATTGAATAGCAGTCAGTGTCCTTAAAGCGGGTGTGTTACGCTAACAGTGGATACGCTGACAAGTCTCACTAATTAGATCCTGT